ATCCATGAGAACCTGCGAGACGAGAAAGCACAAGAACTCCGGGGAAGAAGTGAAGTTAGTAACATGCATTAATGGGACATGAATGAGTGCAGAAAGAGAGAGGAAGAGAGGAGCTCAGTGCACCATGGGAAATCCCCCGATAGTCTAGGCCTATAGCAGCATAACTAAGGGATGGTTCAGGACTCACCTGATCCAGCCCTAACTATAAGCTTTATCAAAGAGGAATGTCTTAAGCCTACTCTTGAATGTGGAGAGGGTGTCTGCCTCCCGAACCACAACTGGAAGCTGGTTCCACAGGAGAGGAGCTTGGTAACTGAAGGCTCTGGCTCCTGTTCTACTTTTAGAGACTATAGGAACCACAAGTAGCCCAGCATTCAGAGAACGTAGTGTTCTAGAGGGGTAATAGGGTACTATGAGCTCTTTAAGATATGAAGGGGCCTGACCATGAAGAGCTTTATAGGTGAGGAGGAGGATTTTAAATTCTATTCTACATTTTACAGGGAGCCAGTGCAGAGTAGCTAGTACAGGAGAGATGTGATCTCTTTTTCTAGTTCCTGTCAGTACTCGTGCTGCAGTGTTCTGAATTAATTGGAGCGTTTTAATGGACTTATTGCAGCTCATCCAGCATTTTATGTCCTTAAGACATGTTTGTAATTTAGATAATTGATTAATTTCATTGGGCTTGATCGACAGATATAACTGCGTATCATCTGCATAACAGTGAAAGTTAATGGGCTGATTCCTAATAATGTTGCCTAAAGGGAGCATAAAGTAAATAGTATTGCAGTGTGGATGATGAGGTAGGCCTGCTTTGTCGTACGAAGAAGCCCGCAATTTTTGGCTGTATACAATGCGAGAGAAAATCACGTGCAAACATCAAACGTATAGCTATAAGAACCCAACGTGTAAACGCAACTAGCCTTGATAAGAAAACATTACGCCTATCATAATAATTTCAGATACTTCGAGCGAACAGTTTACAGGTTATTCAAGTAGTTATAGAATTTAGACAATTTAGAATAATTATCTTACCTTGATGCGACAGGCTATCCAAATGCCAGATGAACGTCTTCACCCAAAAATGTTTTCTTTTTATCCGGATAAAGAATGTTGTAGAATGTTTGACGAACGATAATAGATAGCGCGATGACAACCACCAGATGCCGCTGTTCGGATGCATCACACGATTCTGAGGCATATCACATATTTAAAGATTATAAAAACTGATTATTTTACGATACGTGGCACATTTTTCTATTAACGTGCCACAACCTGAGGGACAATGAGTGATCGTATATAACTAATATAATGTTCATAATGTATATATCTTTCATATTGTGGATTGTCTGAATATTTTGACCCATTGTATTTTGATGCTTTGCTTTGGCAATGTTGTTTTTAAAAAAAAACTTTCATGCCAATTAAGCCCATTTTGAATTTGAATTTTGAATTCTCTCTCTCTCTCTGTCTCTCTCTCTCTCTCTCTCTCTCTGTGTGCAGCTGACTTGTTCGGGGATGTCGGGCAGTAAGGCGCTGGGCGGGGGGGCTGGCGGGGGGGCGAGGCGCAGGCGGACCCGGTGCCGGCGCTGCCAGGCCTGCATGAGGACTGAGTGCGGAGAGTGTCACTTCTGTAAGGACATGAAGAAGTTCGGAGGGCCCGGTAGGATGAAGCAGTCCTGCCTCCTGAGACAGTGCACGGCGGTGAGACACACACACACACACACACACACACACACACACACACACACACACACACACACACACACTGATTAATTGACCTTATTGTGCAGCAGACAGAGTTTTTGTATCTCCTCTTCCTCCTCTTCCTCTCCTGTCGCCGCCTGAACCCGCCGGGTCTTCATCCCCAGAGTCAGAGTCCTGGTCGGAGCCGCTGGATATCAGCCGGGCTCCGTCGGTCCGCCCCGCTCCGGTTCTGTGGCTCAGCAGAGAGGAGTAGTGATATAAAGTACCGAGAAAAGTTCTGGAGCTTGTATTCAGACGTACTGTAGAGAGACGCCGTTTACTTCCGGTTCTTCTGTGGACCCGGGTCTATACGGGTCTGTACGGGTGCAGTTGTGACTGTCTGCTGGAGCTGGTTCTGGATCAGTTCTGCAAACGTTTACAGCAGGATGTGTGTGAGTTACTGTACAGCGCTCCATGGCCCGATGGATCAGCCAACCACTCTTTAATATTAACACTCCCTCTGTATGACGCTGCCAGGACTTTCTCCTTTAAATTCAATTCAATTCAATTTTATTTGTATAGCGCCAATTCATAACAGAAGTTATCTCAGGACACTTTTCAAATAGAGCAGGTCTAGACCGAACTCTTTAACATTAATTACAGAGACCCAACAGTACCACCATGAAATAAATATCCAAAGCTGTCATAAATCAATGGGGCTCATTGATCTGTTGTCCTGTGGTTTAATACAAGCAGAGATAACACACACACTGAGAACTGGACAAAATGTTCTCACACCCAGAACCCAGACTGGTCCTCACAGAGATGCCAGAACCCAGACTAGTCCTCACAGAGATACCAGAGCACAGACACCAGTTCCTGCTCCGCAACATGACGCTAACGTAGAGCGAGCACGGATCTACACAGCAACATAATCCTCCATTACACCTGCTGAGACACACACACACACACACACACACACACACACACACACACACACTCCGAAGGTGTGGATTATTTTTGTGTCGTTTCTTCAAATAGCATCAGCGCAGAGAGCTGGAGCCCAGCAGGAGAGGATGCTGGGTTTCCGTGGCAACCAGAGATGGTTGCTGGTGCTGTGAGTGAGAGAGAGTTGGCTTTGATCCATCGGCGTGGTCACACACACTCACACACACTCTCACATACACACACACACACACACACTCTCACACTCACACACACTCTCACACACACACACACACACACACACACACACACACTCACACACACTCTGCTGCTCGCCATATTAGTTCTGTTGTTTCTTTATTTCTTTATCTGTGGTTACGGGGGGAGGAGGAGGTAGAAGAGGAGGAGGAGGAGGTGGAGGAGGTAGAGGAGGAGGAGGAGTAGTAGGAGGAGGAGGAGGTAGAAGAGGAAGAGGAGGAGGAAGAGGAGGAGGAAGAGTAGGAGGAGGAGGTAGAGGAGGTAGAGGAGGAAGAGGAGGAGGAGGTAGAAGAGGAGTAGGAAGAGGAGGAGGAGGAGGAGAAGGTAGAGGAGGAAGAGGAGGAGGAGGAGGAGATAGAAGAGGAAGAGGAGGAGGAGGGAGGTAGAAGAGGAAGAGGAGGAGGAAGAGGAGGAGGAAGAGTAGGAGGAGGAGGTAGAGGAGGTAGAGGAGGAAGAGGAGGAGGAGGTAGAAGAGGAGTAGGAAGAGGAGGAGGAGGAGGAGAAGGTAGAGGAGGAAGAGGAGGAGGAGGAGGAGATAGAAGAGGAAGAGGAGGAGGAGGAGGTAGAGGAGGAGGAAGAGTAGGAGGAGGAGGAAGAGTAGGAGGAGGAGGAAGAGGAGGAGGAGGTGGAGGAGGAGGGTATGCTGGTTTCAGTTGTGATGGTCCTGGGGGGAGAAAGGTGGGAGGGGCTCGTCTCCTCCTCTTCCTCCTCCTGCAGTCACTCAGTTTTAGAAACGTGTGACGTCCCTGGAGGCTCTAGGCCCATTAGCATTAGCATCAGCCACCACTAACACGCCGCAGTCTCACACCAAACTGTCGGCAGCCCAGTTGCATTGTGGGTAGTGTAGGCAGCAGGTTCTGACAAGAAGGAAGGATGTGAGGAATATGGATCAAAGTTATTCTCATTATTCATTCATTTCTTCTTCCTGATACAGATCTGATACAAGGACATTAACAATAGAATATATATATATATATATGGACACCTGTTCATTGTTCAGTTCCAATCAGACCCACACATTTTGGACAATGTTATGCTTGCAACTTTGTAAATGGTAAATGGACTTGTACTTGTATAGCGCATTTCTAGTCTTCCGACCACTCAAAGCGCTTTTTGTGGCAACAGTTTGGGGAAGGACCTTTCTGTTCCAACAAGACTGAGCCCCAGAGCACAAAGCAAGGTCCATAAAGACATTGTTGAATGAGTTCGGTGTGGAAGAACTTGACTGGCCTGCACAGAGCCCTGACCTCCACCCCATCGAGCGCGTTTGGGATGAGCTGGAACGGACATTGCGAGCCTCATAAATGCTCTACAGAATGAATGGACACAAATTCCCACAGAAACACTCCAAAGTCTTGTGGAAAGCCTTCTGTCATTGGCTCAGGTTGAACCCAGGAAGGAACAGGGTCTGTCTCAGAGTCATATCACTCCAGTTCTCTGATCACTGCACTGTTTCACTTCCAATACTGTTTACCATCTAATCAATGACCTACACGGCCCTCCGTGGTCGGACCCAGCGGGGACTCCAGTGCAGCCTTCATAACCCGGCCTTCATTTAACAGTGTTGTGTTTGATGTCCTCACATACTGTATTTTAATTGTTTTCTTCTTTATTAATATTTCTGTATTTTTATGGTTTTTGCTCTAAGCCCATTCCAACCTCTCCTGTCTCTGCACCTGTCTGACCCACCTGTCTCTCTCTCTCTCTCTCTCTGTCTCTCTCTCTCTCTCTGTACAGCCGGTGTTGCCTCACACGGCGGTGTGTTTTGCGTGCGGCGAGGCGGGGAAGGAGGACACTGTGGACTCTGAGGAGGAGAAGTTCAGCCTCTCTCTGATGGAGTGTACCATCTGCAACGAAATCATCCACCCCAGCTGCCTCAAGGTCAGTGACCAGAACCTGGTTCCACACAGACCGCCTACGGGGGTCTGACACAGTCTGACTGACTGTGGTGGATCAGACTGTGGTGGATCAGACTGTGGTGGACCAGACTGTGGTGGACCAGACTGTGTTGGACCAGACTGTGTTGGACCAGACTGTGTTGGACCAGACTGTGTTGGACCAGACTGTGTTGGACCAGACTGTGTTGGACCAGACTGTGGTGGACTCAGTGTGTTTGTTTGTCTCCTCAGATGGGTAAAGCTGAAGGAATCATCAACGATGAGATCCCAAACTGCTGGGAGTGTCCAAAGTGCCACAAGGAGGGTAAAACCAGTAAGGTGAGAGTCCGACCAGAACCCAGAACCCAGTTTCAGACTGGTGAAGGGATCAGACATATGACGGCCTTTAGCTCGTGTTTCTAGAGTTACGTGTTGTTACGAACACGTTAGGAATTGTTAAAATGTGATATTTCTTAAAGGGAGTTTGGTGCAGGGAGCTTTTAGTTGGATTCAAACTGCTGATATGGATCATTGATAACGTTTAGTCTCCACTACAGAAACACTAGCTGACTGCTGAAGGCTGATCAGGTTGATTGATGCTTTAATAATGAGAGTATTGATTATATTGATTATTGATTATATTGATGCCGGTTTGGTGTTTCTGTCCAGGACCAGGCGGACGGCTCGGGGAAGCGCAGGCTGGATAACGGGGAGGTGGGCCGCTGGAAGCTCACAGATGACCCTCCCCCTAAAAAGAAAGCCCCTCCCTCCCTGGAGGAGGGGGGGAGGACGGACGGGGGACACAAGAGGAAGAAGGAGAAGGAGCTGCCTCAGGACAGCGGGCCCAAGAAGAAGGTGAGTCCTCTTTCAGGTCTGACATGATCCTGATGGTTTAAAGAACCTGATTACAGCTCTGACTGTCTGTCTCTCCGCCCCGTCTCTCTCTCAGATGAAGGTCGCCCACGAAAAACGCCTCAAAAAGGTACGAAGCCTTTATTATGAATATATTTATCCAACAAACGGCTGGGAGATGGACGTTGTGTCCAGTCTGTCCCTCAGTCGATGTTGTCCTTGAACATCTGAACTCTGCTCAGGAAGCTCAGTGGAAAGATCTCCATGCACACAGCCTATAAGTGATCAGATTAACACACACACAGCGACGTCACAGACAAACTGACCTCCTACAGGGGCTGTGGGACCCCCGTCAGTCCGGCTCTGTCCTGGTTTCACACATTGATAATAAAGTAGGGCTGCAAAATATGTATGTATCAGTGGGGTAATGGTTGTTGTAGCATCACAAAGGCAAGAACAGCATGCTGATACCTTTTATTAAAGTGAGTTAGAATTCATGATGATGAAGATACAGAAAGAAATGTAACAATAGCTCATTGTCACATTTTACAGCCATTTCAGTAATAATTGGATTCATTGAAGTCGACTGATTTCATGTTTTACAGACACAAATCTGTCTGAGGACTCAATATCTCACATATATATAAAAATAAACCTTAGTTCTCCTACTGATCGATCCGGGTCGTATCCTCCTGATCTGTATTTTGTGTCCATCAGAAACCCAAACAGGAGGCGGTGGAGTCGAACGGTCCCACATCCTCAGTGGGAGGAGGAGCGCTGCAGGGCTCCTCAACTTCTTCTTCTTCTCAGCCCGGGGGAGGAGGAGGTGGGGGAGGAGGGGGAGGCGCGGGGGGGACGTCGAGTGCCGACCAGCGCTCCCATCACAGAGAGAAACTGGAGCGCTTTAAGAGGATGTGTCTGCTGGAGCGTCGCCCCGAGTCCTCGTCCTCCTCCTCCTCCAGCTCCGAGTCCGACTCCGAGTCCGACTCAGACGACTCCCTGAGAGGGGAGCAGGGGGGAGGAGGCTCCTCGCCTTCATCATCCTCCCCCGCCCCGCCTCCTCCCGTTGTCTACGGGAACAGCAGTGGTGGGCGGGGAGAGAGGGAGAGGAGTCGCAGCGAGCGGGAGAGAGAGAGGGAGCGGGAGCGGCGTCTGGCTGAGCTGGGCTTCAGCGCCAGCGAGGAGTCTGAGGGGGAGGGCGGGAGGGGGGAGGAGGAGGTGCGGGAGGAGGAGCAGGGAGGGGGGGAGAAGGTTCGGCGGAGAGGGGGAGGAGGAGAGGCTGGGTTACCTCCGCGAGGACGGAAAGGAGGACTACTGGACGGAGAGGAGGAGGACACGCCCACCTCTGACAGGACCAGGAAAAACTCTGCCTCCCTTCCGCCGCCCTCACCCCTCTCCTCCAATCAGATGCCTCCGTCCTCGCAGCACGACGGCTTCACGGGGAAGCAGCGCAGCAATGGACAGGAGGCGCGCAACGGACGGACACGAGGAGGGACAGGCGGGGGAGGAGGGGGTAGGGAAGGAGGAGAGAAGGAGAACGCCAGCGGCGTTCTGACCAATCACAGACACAGTGGGGGAGGAGGGGGCGGGACCAAAGGCAGCGGGAGCCGCGGGAACAAGATCCGTAGCAACAGCAAGAACCAGACATCCAGAAACACCACCACCTCCTCCTCCTCCTCCTCCTCCTCCATCCCCACCTCCAACGGCGGGGGAGGAGGGGGAGGCGGCCTGATGATGTCAGCAATGGCGGCGTCTCCCTGCTCGCAGCCGTCCCGCCTCGCCCCGCGCTCTCAGATGATGAAGCGCAGCCCGCCGGCCGTGCCCTCGCCCCCCCGGCCCGTCCAGATGGAGAGGCACCTCGTGCGTCCCCCCCCCACCTGCCCCGAGCCCAGCTGCCTGCCGCTGGACTCCGGCTCCTCCCACATCATGACCCGGGACGTGTGGCTGCGAGTCTTCACCCACCTGAGCCAGAGAGAGCTGTGCGTCTGCATGAGGGTCTGCCGCACCTGGAGCCGCTGGTCAGTGACCTCACAGTGACCTCACAGTGACCTCACAGCGTCTGCTGTAGTGCTTCACAGATGGAAACTGAGCTTCAGTGTGTTTTTCTCTTCTTCAGGTGTTGTGATAAAAGGTTGTGGACTCAGATCGATCTGAGCCGGCAGCGCTCCATCACCCCCCCCATGCTGAGTGGTATCATCCGCCGCCAGCCCGTCTCCCTCAACCTGGGTTACACCAACATCTCCAAGAAACAGCTGATGTGGCTGATCAACCGGCTACAAGGTGCTGCCAACACTTCCTGTTCACACTACACACAGCCCAGTTAGCTGATCAATACCTGATCAGCCTGATCAGTAATCAATACTCACATTATAGTAACAGAGTTTCTGTGTGTTTCTGGTCAATGAGGAGAAATCATGCACCACTCTGAGAACGTGATGTTCAGCACAAACCACAACGTAGAACCCTTCACCCAGTAGATAATATATAATCCATACAGATACAGTGTATACTGATCAATATCATCCATAAAGATACAGTGTATACTGATCAATATCATCCATAAAGATACAGTGTATACTGATCAATATCATCCATACAGATACAGTGTATACTGATCAATATCATCCATAAAGATACAGTGTATACTGATCAATATCATCCATAAAGATACAGTGTATACTGATCAATATCATCCATAAAGATACAGTGTATACTGATCAATATCATCCATAAAGATACAGTGCATACTGATCAATATCATCCATAAAGATACAGTGTATACTGATCAATATCATCCATAAAGATACAGTGTATACTGATCAATAGGGATGTAGTGTGAACGCATTAATCAATGAATCTATTACTATGAACTATTGATAATCAATTAATTGTTTTGGCTCATTTTTTTTTAAAGAAGAATTTCAGCTTCTCAGATGTGTCTATCGATTAATAGACAAAATGATCAACTGATTGATCAGCTCTAGTTGTGATTTGAACTCCCGTCCTCTGACCCTCGTCCTCTGACCCTCGTCCTCTGACCCCCGTCCTCTGACCCCCGTCCTCTGACCCGTGTCCTCTGACCCCCCCGTCCTCTGACCCTCGTCCTCTGACCCCCGTCCTCTGACCCCCCGTCCTCTGACCCCCCGTCCTCTGACCCGTGTCCTCTGACCCCCCGTCCTCTGACCCTCGTCCTCTGACCCCCGTCCTCTGACCCCCCGTCCTCTGACCCCCCGTCCTCTGACCCCCGTCCTCTGACCCGTGTCCTCTGACCCCCCGTCCTCTGACCCTCGTCCTCTGACCCCCGTCCTCTGACCCCCGTCCTCTGACCCGTGTCCTCTGACCCCCGTCCTCTGACCCCCCGTCCTCTGACCCCCGTCCTCTGACCCCCCCCGTCCTCTGACCCCCGTCCTCTGACCCTTGTCCTCTGACCCCCGTCCTCTGACCCGTGTCCTCTGACCCCCGTCCTCTGACCCCCCGTCCTCTGACCCTCGTCCTCTGACCCCCGTCCTCTGACCCGTGTCCTCTGACCCCCGTCCTCTGACCCCCGTCCTCTGACCCCCGTCCTCTGACCCTCGTCCTCTGACCCGTTCAGGTCTGCTGGAGCTGAATGTGTCGGGCTGTCCGTGGCCGGCGGTCTCCGCTCTGTGTCAGGCCGTCTGTCCCTGTCTGAAGCTGCTGGACCTCAGCAGAGTGGAAGACCTCAAAGACTCTCACCTGAGGGAGCTGCTGGCCCCCCCACCTGACACCAGGACAGGTGAGACGCTCACACACATTAAATTAGAAGGTGGTTGTTGTGGTTGTTGTTGTGGTTGTTGTTGTTGTTGTTGTTGTTGTTGTGGTTGTTGTTGTTGTTGTTTTTGTCACAAAAGCCTCATTAACCTGTCTCTCTCTCTCTCTGCTCTCTGATTGGTCGGTCAGCTCACGGTGAAACCAGAGTGGGGCGTTTCCAGAACGTGACGGAGCTGCGATTGGCCGGTTTGGACCTGACGGACGCATCGTCCCGCCTGCTGGTGCGTTACGTTCCTCACCTGACCCGGTTGGACCTGAGTCAGAGCGGGAATATCACAGACCAGACGGTGCACACCCTCACCTCCCCCATCTCCCCCCTGAAAGAGAGCCTCACCCACATCAACCTGGCAGGTAAATACCTCAAGTTACAGTAACTGTACTCCTCCAGTACTCCTGCAGTACTCCTGCAGTACTCCTGTACTCCTCCAGTACTCCTGCAGTACTCCTGCAGTACTCCTGCAGTACTCCTGCAGTACTCCTGTACTCCTGCAGTACTCCTGCAGTACTCCTGTACTCCTGTAGTACTCCTGCAGTACTCCTGCAGTACTCCTGTACTCCTGTAGTACTCCTGCAGTACTCCTGCAGTACTCCTGTACTCCTGTAGTACTCCAGTACTCCTGCAGTACTCCTCCTGTACTGACGGTGGCGCTGTGTTTCAGGCTGTGTGAAGGTGACGGAGCAGTGCATCCCGTTGCTGCGGCGCTGCCCCTCCCTGCAGACGGTCGACCTGCGCTCCTGCTCCCTCCTCTCCTCCGAGACCGGACAGCTGCTCTCCTTCCCCTCCAACGCCTCCTCCTCTTCATCCTCCTCTACCTCCTCTTCCTCCAACACTGCCACCACTACCACCACCACCACCACCACGACGGTCGCTGCTTCATCCTCCTCCTCCTCCTCCTCCTCCTCCTCCACGTCCGCCTCCTCCTGTCCTCCCGAAGACAGAACGCTGCTAAAGAACAGCTAAAGTCCTCCTCCGTGTCACGTGACTTTTGAGTCCAGGCGGCCTGCTAAGCCCCGCCTCCCACCTTGATACACTACATACAGGTGACGGGGAAGAGGAGGAGGAGGTGGAGGGACCTGTGCAACATTTCTCCTGACGTTGTGACCACAGAAGAAGAAGAGGAGGAGGAGGAACGTATTTTGGGAAAATTGTCGGTAATAGTTAAAAAATAGAAACCCTGAGCATGTACATATTTGTTCTCTGTACAATTTTGGGTGTGTGTATATATCTGTAGTTTACTGTAAATGACCCTTAACCTTTGAAACATCCCCCCCCCCACCAACACTCCTTCCCTCCTCTCCTCCTTTCCTTCCCTCCTTCTCTTCCGTCCTTCCACCATTCGATCAATCATCACGCCAGGCGTCCACCTGCTCGTCAGTAGCTGCAGAGAACAGGGAGAGAGGAAGATCAATACTTGATGATGTCTCCCCCCCCCCCCCCCAGTCTGCACGCACACACACACACACACACGCACACACACACACACATACACACAGGAAGTCAGACACACGTAGGGTCGTCTCCATGAATGATTCAAATAAGAGCAGTCTGACATTTGCAGGCAGTTTAGGAGTGACGCTAACAGTTTCCCTCTGCTTCCAGTCTTTGTGCTAAGCTAGGCTAATCAGTATGAATTGGTCTGACTGTGGGGGGGAAATGTTAGATTGTCGCACTAAAAACGCATCTTTTCTCTATGAAGTTTGGTAGTTGGTTAGAGAGCATCTGCGGTTACCCACAGTGCCCCTCTCTGTTGGCCCTTTTCCTGCCACAGGGAACCGATTCTGTCCCGGTTCACGCAGCGAGTTTTCAAACCATTTGGACCAAAAATAAATTGGTTCAGAATCTGAACAGTTGGAACCGAAACTCACCGCGATCACTCTCCACCAGACTGCAGAGACAGAAACTCGTTTTACCTTCAGATCATCGTTAATCCACCGACGTAGGCGTGGAAACACTCCAAAGTAAGCTAACGGGTCAAAGTACGTCCACTAACAGTGTTCGCCACCGGCTCGGATCCGTTCTGGTTCCTCGAACCGGTTCAAGATGCAGTTAATTTGGTGTAAAACCACGAAGACTTCAGCAGAAGGATTGTTCCCGCCTCGAGCTGCGTATTTAAAACATTTAATGTTCCGACCACACAAACAGATTCTGAGCTGGAACGTCTGATTTATTCTGCTGATTCACTGCAACCAGTCAGAAACCAGTCAGCAACCAGTCAGCAACCAGTCAGAAACCAGTCAGCAACCAGTCAGAAACCAGTCAGCAACCAGTCAGAAACCAGTCAGAAACCAGTCAGCAACCAGTCAGCAACCAGTCAGAAACCAGTCAGCAACCAGTCAGAAACCAGTCAGCAACCAGTCAGAAACCAGTCAGCAGTCAGAAACCAGTCAGAAACCAGTCAGAAACCAGTCAGAAACCAGTCAGAAACCAGTCAGAAACCAGTCAGAAACCAGTCAGCAGTCAGAAACCAGTCAGCAACCAGTCAGAAACAATCAGTAAGCAGTCAGAAACCAGTCAGCAAACAGTCAGAAACCAGTCAGCAAACAGTCAGAAACCAGTCAGCAAACAGTCAGAAACCCAAAGAGATCCAGTGTGAGAGTGGCTGGAAGCATCAGGAGTGATCAGTGTGGATCTTAATGAATGTACACACACACAGACACACAGACACACACACACACACAGACACACACACAGACACACAGACACACACACAGACACACACACACAGACACACACACACACACGTGGAAACAGTGTTAATGTGATTGTAAAGACGCCGCTGGAGGAGGCGGCGAGCAGTCAGTGTGCAACGACAAATCAATAAGTGTTTGAACGAACAGGAAGTGACCTCGCCACGCGCACAATGAATCTGTAATATCAGCGAGAAGAGACGCAGTTCCTCCAGTGGCCGCTAGAGGAACTGCAGCCACGTGTCCAAAACATCGTCCAGCTTTACACACGTCAGTGAACACAATCACAGGTTACACTGATCGCTGCTCTTCTGACGGAACCAGGCTAACAGTTTCCCTCTGCTTCCAGTCTTTGTGCTAAGCTAGGCTAACCAGACACATCAGTAAAATGTCAGACTGTTCCTTTAAACCGCTCACTGACCGGCGGTCGCAGGCGAAGGTTGTTCGGGTGTGATTTGACTCCCTGTTCCCTCCTCTGTGTGTGTGTGTGTGTGTGTGTGTGTGTGTGTGTGTGTGTGTGTGTGTGTGTGTGTGTGTGTGTGTGTGTGTGTGTGTGTGTATCTGAGCCTCAGTGTCTTCAACGTTCGCCTCAATCATTCATCTTCCCCTCTTCGTTTTCCATCCTGTGTTTGTCGCCTCTGATCAGATTCTGTTGGGAAGTGATTGATCGTGTTTTTCTCAGGAGTTTTTTCTTTTTCTTTTTTTAAAATCAGGTTTTAATTTATTTTTGTGCCGCAGCGACGTTCCCATCCGGTCCGAACACACATTCCTGCTTTCTGTCTGTCTCACTCGGGATGTGTTTCTGTTTGTTTTCTACATTATGAACCTTTCTGCCTGTTGTTGCTGCATTGATCGATCTGTTTGTCTACGGAAGCTCATTTCTGCCAGGAGAAGGAAAAACAACGTGAGGAATAATTCTGATTTATTATCCTGATCTATCTCGTCTTGATTTATTTTATAGTCTTTGAGAACCCGATAGTACTTTTATAATTCTGATTTGTCGACTATCTCGACTCCGACTCAAATCTCAAACTTTGGTTTTACCTTTAAAAGTATTTTCATGTTTTATTCCGAACTTTTCTTCTGTTTTTTATTGTTTTGGCTGAATTGGGCTTCCGTAGTTTCCTCAGGGGCCTCGCTTATGAAAAATCCGTCATTCTGAATTTCCCGTCAGGATCATCGTTAAAGTAAAGTTTTGGCTTTTGATGTGTCGCATAAAAGCAAGAAATCAATGCAAGTTGGTGGTTTTATGGTCAGAAACGTTTTCATAAATGACGCCCGGATGTTTCTGATCCCGGATCAGATCCACGTCTGATGTTTGTTTCTTTGTGTGAACTGGCTGTCTTATCATGTGAGGCAGTGGCACTGAGGGGGGGGCAATATTATTTACATCATATTTCATATCGTTGAATTTCAGATAAACGCAACAAACGACGGACTGCAGTTACCATAACGAGCTTTGTCGGGTTAGACGTCAGTAGATGGGTCGCCCTGTACTGGCTAGCGTGTTGGCTAGCGTGTTCCACGTTAGCTAGCTGGTCAGTTTCAAGCCTTCTGTTAGGTCGCGTTACTTCTGCTGCACGTAGAACAGAAACCACGTCTTAAAATACGGCGAGAGAACGAGCGGGGAAACGGCCATTATCACTGGCTAGCTTTTAGCTATAGCTTTTAATGAGCTAACATGTTAGCGCTTTAGTAGCAATGGCTTGTTCCGTGTTGGTTAGCTCTTTCCACGTTAGCTACATGGTACAATGTTAGCGTCCCAGTTGTTTATTAGTTTGCTGGTTTTATTGTTCAACAAATAAGTAAAACAAAACTTAAATTCTGTCTGGAAAATGAGCGGGAAAACCGCCATTATGACGCTCATTCATTGTCCTGCTTTGCTAGCTTGTTAGCTCATTAGCTAAGCACTTGCTTATATAAGAAGTAACGCAGGTTATCAGGTAAAGATGAATCCTATCGGAGTTAGAGTCGATTCATTGTTCACTTTATTCAACGTTTACTTTTTTATTGTAAATTTAATCAACTCGATAATAAATAATCAATCATTCTTGTTATTGATACAGGTTGTGGTGCAGCGGAGGTAACGCATCATTCGGACCCGCCGTAGTCCACGAAATAAAAAGTATTAGTAGTGAGATCGCCATGACGTCGTGCTGCTCGCCAGCCGGACGCCTCGTTGTGCCATAAACTCGCCAGATCAACGTCTCGCTGTGGGTCAGTTTTATATTTTATTTTTTGTATTCGTTGTGATTTAGTTGTTTTTTACTGTGACGTAACGCGGGACCGCCGCCTCGCCGCCAACGATGCATATCACAGCTTCAGACTTCGCCTAGCGACAGGTGAGGAGATCAAATCTGATTGGACGATAATCCCCGACTCCTGAAAGCTCTTATCCAATCAGACGCCCAGACATCTTCGCTCTCTTCTCTATCTTAGTAAAAAAAAAAGTCTCTGGATGTTTTAAAGATGCACTGGATCATCATCTTCATCACCTTCATCCTCGCCTTTTGCCAAATGTAGTTTTTGTTGTGAAAAGGGGCATTTTATCCTGTTTCTTTTGGGTTTTTTTGTTCTTTGTTTGCTTTTTGTTGTTTTTTTATACTTTGTCCACGACTCTTCCGCTGTGTTGATGAAAAAAAAAATGAGGAAGAAGTTGGAACAAAAAGTAAAAGTGACACAAAAAGACCAACTCAAGGCAGCTACGTATGAGTGACTACTGTAAAATGACTAACTAATAAAGAAGCAATGGGTTTGTTTTTACTTCCTGTGTTTGTTTGTTTGTTCATAAACACATCTTCTATCCCAGGATGGCAAAGTCATGACCCACTAACCTACCCAATCCTACCCCTCATGCCTAAACCGGACCAACGAAACCAACAAAGGAGAACTAGCCAATCGGAGCCAGAGAAGGGTTCGCCATGACTTCACCATCCTGGGTAAAAAAATAAATAAATCTGGCTACATGTTCGTATAATTTCTGCTTGACCTGGTTATTTTAAGATTTTAGCCCAAAAATACACAATGACTTTATACAATAACAACACACTGCGATGTTTTACACACTGCGATGTTTTACACACTGCGATGTTTTATACACACTGCGATGTTTTTACACAGCTGTGTTTTGTAATCTCAATTACTGCAATAAAACATATTTATGCAGTTTGACAAGCAGTCTTCATTAGCATAGCAATATAACACTTGGCCTGACCACTTGAATCAATATAAAAAGACTGTTGCAATTAAAACACATTAATTCCTCACAGGATTGACGGTGGAAATACAGGTGAATCACCTGGATTAATGTTAGCCTGGCTGTTAGCCTGGCTGTTAGCCTGGTCTGGAGCAGGCTAGCTGCAGAGAATAAATCACCATAGTAACTTGGCCGGGATAAGTTTAACCTGCTTTCATGCAACCGACTTGAGGCTCAATTCATCCAGGATAACCAACATATCCCGGGTTAATCCCTTATCCTGGTTTTGTACAATACCCCTCAGGTTCTGTTTGAGGTCCTGAGATAAGTTCTGTTGTGATTTGGTAAAATACAAATAATCAGAATGAGAACCTGTTTTCACGTAGAAGGATTATCGGTGCATTACAATAAAAATATAAATAAAGATCAAATAGAGGCGATATAAGTGTATTTAAATAGATGAATGCAGAAATGTACTGTTTGTAGGATTGTGTAGGTCAGCAGTGTGACAGAGATATTCATATATATTATATATATATACAATAATAACACAGATTCAACCACTGCACTTACTAACAGTAATGATGACTCAGTTCCATTTAGTGTCTCAGTGACAGTGGTCCAGCAGTCCTAACCCTAAATGGAACGTGGCCACTGTAAGAACAGCTGATCCCTTACCTTCTGGACTTACTGGTGATTTTAAGATTTTACCCGATGACTTTATAAAATGTTAGAGATGAAACGGAGGATCTCACAGGCGTCTGATTCCACAGCAGCCTTTCTAGAATAATCTGACACGTTCGGATGTTTGTAGGATTATTTTTATTTTTTGGCAATAAATAATATAAATTAAAAATAAATTTGCTTTGAAAATGAAAATATTTGAACAAACACATTATTGTGGCGCTTTAGTAAAACACTGAATATCTAAAGGTGATATTAGAAATCAATACATTGTTTTATTTTGAAATTTTGCTGGTATTAATTTACAGTTGTTGAACCCGACCGAGTTCACAGTGTCCGGTGATGATGGCAGTGTGGTAATATAATCATAAACTTTACTTATAGAGCATTTTTATGTTAAATAATGAAACACTTTTCTTCTTTGTGGTATTTTCTGATTAGACACATATTATATTTATAATACGGAAGCGTATTGCATTCACTTGAGAAAAAATAACTTTTTTTTTACTGTTTTTCGGAGTAATTTTCTTCTGAATTATCGAGATACTTTGAACTCCCGCGAGAACCTCCAACCTGCATTGACTCCCATCGACCTATAGTGACTCCTGCCCACACATACATGCCCCATCTTCAGCTATCTACCTCAGGTTCCTGCGTAGAGTCAACAGACCAATGATAACACCATCTATAAGACTTAAAGACAGGACTATGTCCCAGAGTCTGAATCCAGATCAAAGTAAAACCTGATTGAACTAAACCAGCCGGTTATGTTTGTTTCCATTAAATCAAGCTCTCAATAAAGGAATGAATGCTTCTATTGTTTGTCCAAAGAACAGAAAAAAAACATTTATTCAGAAAACCTGAAAAGAAATAAAAAAAAAAAAATAGAATTACTCCAGAAAACAAACCAAAAAATACCTTTTCAAGTGAATGCAATATGCTTCCGTTTTATAATAATTACTATAAAGATGTTAGAAACAAACTTTTTTGGGGGAAAAAAATGGATTTGGGCGCGTGCACGGTGCGTGTGCAAGGCGGTGCGCGCGAAAGGGGAGCCAACGGGGTCGCGCGGGAGAGAGATGAGAGGAGTGTACTGCTGCGTTCAGGTGCTCCTCGGAAACTCCGGCTTGCTGTTGGATTTGTCTCAAAATGTTGTGTTTGAGTCACCAAATGTTCGTTTGGATGAACTGTGAGTGACATTATTAATAGTATGAATATAAATAATACTACTAATAATATATTAATATTCTACTCTGATATCTATCTAGTTGTATTTGTTGTATGTTGGTGAACTCAGCTCAGCAGTCATTAAAGAAGATAAAACAGGAAGTGAAATAAAATTAAACCATATAAATATGTACAGTGTGAGAGTATCACTGTGAAGTATTATAAATCTTTTATTATTATTTTTAATGATATTATATATATATATAAAAAGGTGGCGCAGTGTTGAAGTACTGAATCAGTCGTTAATATAAAGAGTTATTAATATTAGTAATTAATTACTGAGAGGAGGTTTAAAGTTTAAATAATGATGAATGCTGACACACATATCAGACTGGAAACAATACTTTATTACATATTAACAGTTTATCATACTTATTGATATTTAGGTTTCATTCTCCTCTTTGTTTGAATTATTTTATTTTATTGTTATTCTAATCATTATTTCATCTTATTCAGTCGTTTCTCTGTATTTTATATTTCTTGTTGGGTTATGCTGTTAGGCTCTCTGGGGTGGGGGGTATTGTGCTCTTCCTTGTTTAAACTCAATGAAGTATTAAATAAAAAGAAATAAATACATTTCATTTAACTGTGTATTAGAGGGACTAAACCGGGTCTACGGAAGCCCATTTCTGCCAATGTGACCAAGAAAAAAGATTCTGTAAATCATTATAATGAGAAACTTTATTAAAATATTGGCTGATTGAGTTTTCTCATTAATTTGATAAAGTTTCTCATTATAATGACTTACAGAATGTTTTTCCCCTTTCGGAAATGGGCTTCCGTACTGTTCCGTGCACTGACTGCACAGTGTTAAAACCTCCGACAGTCCCTGAAGGCGGCACGTCGCCCTGCCGTCAGTGCGTGATATCCCTCCGCGGGAGAGAAGCGCGCGGCCCTTTCCCTCCCGACAACACAGGATGCGAACGGGCGGCGGTGAAGCTCCCAGACGTTACTCCGCGCACGGTCGTTAATATTTCCCGCAACATCCGAGTGAGAAACACCCGAGCAAGCACCGGGGGAACTCCCGCCACTCTTATCACCGACTGATCCCGCCCTGCGGCTGGCACCGACCGAACTCCGTGGAAGAAATATAATCCGCTGTGAGCGCTGCGCGGCAACCGACAGAGCTGAAGAGAGAGCGGCCGGCGGAATGGAGCTCATCACTATCCTCGAAAAGACGGTCTCTCCAGGTGAATATCAGCCCCGCACACTCCCGCACAACATCCCCGGGCCCCGGGGGCGGTGCTGCTGGGCGGCAGCTGCCGTTAGCGCGGCGGCGGTTCGCGCCGGTGGACCGGGGAAAGTTTGAAGTCGGGAGGAGGGAAATGTTGCTAGCTAGCTGCTAATGCTAACCTAGCTACCAGTACGGCCTCAGATAACGCGGGTGACTTAGCACTCTGTCCGAGACTGGAAGCAGTCCCACAGCGCCACTAACCCGCCGGGCTGATCAGGTGATCGATAAATACGTTGTCATGTCGGAATAATATCGATGTAGCTCCGTGGAGGCTAATCTGACAGCAGCATGTAGCCGCTAGCCGCTAGCTGCTAGCTGCTAGCTGCGGCGACCCTCCCATGCCTGAATTAGCCGCTGTGCTAGCACGTTAGCCGTTAGCTTGTATCATTCAAACCATCGGCCGCTGCCTCGCACGCCTGCCCGGCTGCCGCTGCCTGAGAGCCGCTGGGGAGAGAGAAAAGTCCCCCCGGTTGTTGTATGAACCGTCTCCCGCAGCTTTAACCCGGGTTACGGCTCTTTAACCCGGGTTACTGCTCTTTAACCCGGGTTACGGCTCTTTAACCCGGGTTACGGCTCGTGTAGAAAACTTTGTCACTCCGAACGTGCTACGGTGGCCGGCTAACATGCTAACCGAGAAGCTCTCGCTCCACGGCGGCTAACACGCACGCTGGAGCCTCGCCGTGTTTGTGCCTCACAGAGCGGATGAACACTGAGTGAAATCAGCCTCTAATGTTCACAATCCGCGGGAAACAGCGCCGCAGCTGCCGGCTGCTAAAGAACCGGTTCCACCTTCCTCCCGGTCCGGACTCAGAGCAGCCGAGTGTTAGCCTTCCTGTTAGCATATCTGTCAGCTAATGAGCTAACATCACATTGAATAACCCCTCACCCTCCCTCACCCTCTCCCTCACCCTCCCCTCCCTCACCCTCTCCTCTCCCCGCCCTCACCCCTCTCCTCTCCCTCCTCACCCTCCCCTCACCCTCACCCTCACCCTCTCCCCCCCTCACCCTCTCCTCTCCCCGCCCTCACCCTCTCCTTTCCCTCCTCACCCTCTCCTCCCCCCCCTCACCCCTCTCCTCACCCTCACCCTCTCCCCCCTCACCCTCTCCTCCCCTCACCCCCCTCTCCTCTCCCTCCTCACCCTCTCCCCCTCCCCGCCCTCACCCTCTCCTCTCCCTCCTCACCCTCTCCTCACCCTCTTGCCCCCCTCACCCTCCCCCGCCCTCACCCTCTCCTTCCCCCCTCACCCTCTCCCTCCTCACCCCTCCCTCACCCTCACCCTCTCCCCTCCCCCCTCACCCTCTCCTCTCCCCGCCCTCACCCTCTCCTCCCCCTCCTCACCCCTCTCCCTCACCCCTCACCCTCACCCTCTCCCCCCTCACCCTCTCCTCTCCCCGCCCTCACCCTCTCCTTTCCCTCCTCACCCTCTCCTTTCCCTCCTCACCCCCCCTCACCCTCACCCTCTCCCCCTCACCCTCTCCTCACCCTCACCCTCCCCCTCCCTCCTCACCCTCTCCTCCCCCCGCCCCCTCCTCTCCCCCCCCTCACCCTCTCCTCTCCCTCCTCACCCTCTCCTCACCCTCTTGCCCCCCTCACCCCTCTCCCCGCCCTCACCCTCTCCTTTCCCTCCTCACCCTCTCCTCACCCTCACCCTCTCCCCCCTCACCCTCTCCTCTCCCCGCCCCTCACCCTCTTGCCCTCCTCACCCTCTCCCTCCCTCACCCTCCTCCCCTCACCCTCTTGCCCCCCTCACCCTCTCCTCTCCCTCCTCACCCTCTCCTCTCCCTCCTCACCCTCTCCCCTCCTCACCCTCTCCTCTCCCTCCTCACCCTCTCCTCTCCCCGCCCTCACCCCTCTCCTCTCCCCGCCCCTCACCCTCTCCTCTCCCTCCTCACCCTCTCCTCTCCCCGCCCTCACCCTCTCCCCCGCCCCCCCCTCTCCCTCCTCACCCCTCCTCTCCCTCCCTCACCCTCTTGCCCCCCTCACCCCTCACCTCTCCCCTCCTCACCCTCTCCCTCTTGCCCTCCTCACCCTCTCCCTCCCCTCCTCACCCTCTTGCCCCCTCCCCCTCACCCTCTCCTCTCCCTCCTCACCCTCCCCCTCTCCCCGCCCTCACCCTCACCCTCCTCCCCCCCTCTCCCGCCCTCACCCCCTCCTCTCACCCTCTCCCCACAGATCGGAATGAACTGGAGGCGGCACAGAAGTTTCTGGAGCAGGCTGCGATAGAGAACCTGGTGAGTATGGAGGTGGTTCTGGTACTGGTGGAGGCAGACAGACAGGCAGACAGGCAGACAGACAGACAGACAGACAGACAGGCAGACAGACAGGCAGAGCAGAGAGGAGCTAGTGTCTGATGTTCAAACACACATATTCTGGTTGTTTTTATTTTTAAGAGTTAAACAGTTAATCCAGAACTCGCACACACCTGGAAAACCTGGAAATTTAGAGAATAGTTTTCCAGTCATGGAAACACCTGGAAATGTATTAAAATATCCTGGAAATAATCTGTTGTCCTGGAACATTCAGCGTTAACTGGAGACACTGACTGACTACCTGTAAGGAACCAAAGTAACTTCATTATGAACCTGCAGCATTAATCAGGTTAAATGAACCTTTATCTGATCATTACTGTCAATCTATAATCAATAGTTTGATACAGAGGGATCTGATCAAAGGTTATATCTGACTTTATAAAAAGCAGTTTTATTTACGCTAAATTTATTTACGAGTTGTTTTAAAGTGCAGATGACACAAATATTTCTACTTTATAGTATTTATATAATGTATACATTTATAAACTATAAACTTAGAGCATACACACACACACACTATAAACTACTGTAAAACTTCCAATAAAAGCAGGGTCCCTAATAGACGCAGGTATCTTTTAAAAGCCTGGTGTGGCTACACGTTTTGACAAATAAACGCAGGTCTCCAATAGAGGCCTGGTCTGGATTTTATAGAAATGATCTCGATGTTTAAAACCCACCGGGTCGTTTCAATCTCCTACACAAATATAAATGTTTAAACTTCTGTCAGTATGAACATAATGAACATCATTAGATCAGTTATAGATTCTCCACCATTCAATCGTTCAATATATTTTACTAAAAATTATCAACAGTAAACTATAACATTAATCCATTCTGAATTACCGGTTACACGGTCAACAAGAGAAACGGAATAAAACCTCTGAAGCATCATAATCATCATGTTAGTTGTCAGATTTGCAGAAGAAACCTCAGTTAGAGTTTAGTGCTAAAGGAATTAAAGGCCTGTCCCAAATAAAGGCAGTTCAGTGATTTAAGCAAATAAACGCCTGCGCTATTATTAGAAGTTTACTTTAAACTATATAATATATATAGATTATAGTGTATAATATAAACTATTAACTAGAGCTTCACAATAAAGGTAAATATGATCTCAGCTGCTGCAGTTGTTGGATAAGAAGGTAAAATGTGACCAACAGTTTATAAAGACTGTAAATGTTCTCCAGATGTTTGTTTAGAGATAATTTCTATTTAACCGTTATAGTGCAGCTCTGGTTGGTTGGTTGGTTGGGAGGAAGAGATATCGAGTAGAAACCTGTCAGCTTCCTGTAACGTCTCTGTTACGTCTCTTTAACCTTCTGATCCATATTTGATCCAGGATCTGTCAGTCAGCTGCCACCTCTCCCCCTCTGTGGGTTCTCTCTCTCTGTAACGTCTAATAACCTGTAACACGTGTTAGTGAACAGAGACAGACTCAGTGTGCGGTGGCGGTTAATCTGGAATAACTGCAGCTTTATGATCACAATCAATATCCATGTATCCCGCGGTCCTCTGAGCCTGTGGGTGACACTTTATATAGAGCTTCATTAACCGCCTATATAATCATACAGTGAATGTCACTGCATTATAATCTTTATATATCAGAGGGGTAATATCTGTATCAGAGGGGTAATATCTGTATCAGAGGGGTTAATATCTGTATCAGAGGGTTAATATCTGTATCAGAGGTTAATATCTGTATCAGAGGGGTTAATATCTGTATCAGAGGGTTAATATCTGTATCAGAGGGGTTATTGTATCAGAGGGGTAATATCTGTCGGTTAATATCTGTATCAGAGGGGTTAATATCTGTATCAGAGGGGTTAATATCTGTATCAGAGGGGTTAATATCTGTATCAGAGGTTAATATCTGTATCAGAGGGGGTTAATATCTGTATCAGAGGTTAATATCTGTATCAGAGGTTAATATCTGTATCAGAGGGGTTAATATCTGTATCAGAGGGGTTAATATCTGTATCAGAGGGGTTAATATCTGTATCAGAGGGGTTAATATCTGTATCAGAGGGGTTAATATCTGTATCAGAGGGGTTAATATCTGTATCAGAGGGGTTAATATCTGTATCAGAGGTTAATATCTGTATCAGAGGGGGTTAATATTGTATCAGGGGGGTTAATATCGTATCGGGGGTATATCTGTATCAGAGGTTAATATCTGTATCAGAGGTTAATATCTGTATCAGAGGGGTTAATATCTGTATCAGAGGGTTAATATCTGTATCAGAGGGGTAATATCTGTATCAGAGGGTAATATCTGTATCAGAGGGGTTAATATCTGTATCAGAGGGGTTAATATCTGTATCAGAGGGGTTAATATCTGTATCAGAGGTTAATATCTGTATCAGAGGTTAATATTGTATCAGAGGGTTAATATTGTATCGGGGTTTCTGTTGGGGGTTATATTGTTCGGGGTTTATTGTTGGGGTTATATCTGTTGGGGTTATATCTGTTGGGGTTATATTGTATCGGGGTTAATATCTGTATCAGAGGGTTAATATCTGTATCAGAGGGGTTAATATCTGTATCAGAGGGGTTAATATCTGTATCAGAGGGTTAATATTGTATCGAGGGGTTTATCTGGTATATCTGTTGGGGTTTATCTGTGGGGGGTTTATCTGTTGGGGGGGTTTTCTGTTGGGGTTATATCTGTTCGAGGTTATTCTGTTCGGGGTTATATCTGTATCAGAGGGGGTTATATCTGTATCAGGGGTTAATATCTGTATCAGAGGGTTAATATCTGTATCGGGGTATATCTGTTGGGGTTAATATCTGTATCAGAGGGGTTAATATCTGTATCAGAGGGGTAATATTTTGGGGGTTAATATCTGTATCAGAGGGGTTAATATCTGTATCAGAGGTTAATATCTGTATCAGAGGGGGGGTTAATATCTGTATCAGAGGGGGGGTTAATATCTGTATCAGAGGGGGGGTTAATATCTGTATGCTGAGTCATGATGCATCAGAGTGCATGATGGGAGATTTACAATAATGATACAGCACTTGATGAAACTAACAACCAGTGATAAAGTACAGTATCATCTCTCTCATAATGTCCTGGAACTCTTGTTTTAATGTGTTACTGAGCCCCCCTGGAAACACCAGTTAGTGTTCATGTTAGCAGCAAATGGACAACAGGAACTAACTGCTGTTTATATTCTCTCCCTCTCTCCTCCCTCTGTCCCCCGTCCTCAGCCCACCTTCCTGGTGGAGCTGTCTAAGGTGTTGGCGAACCCGGGGAACACTCAGGTAGCTCGAGTTGCTGCCGGTCTGCAGGTGAAGAACTCTCTGACGTCCAAAGACCCCGACGTAAAGACGCAGTACCAGCAGAGATGGCTGGCCATCGACGCCAACGCTCGCCGCGAGATCAAGAACTACGTAAGTCCTCCTAGCAGCCAGGGTTTATTACTGTAACACCATCTGTCTCCCTGCGTCCGACCGTCTCTCTCTCTCTCTCTCTCTCTCTCTCTCTCTCTCAGGTTTTACAGACTCTGGGCACGGAGACGTACCGGCCCAGCTCGGCGTCGCAGTGCGTTGCCGGGATCGCCTGCGCAGAGATCCCAGTTAACCAGTGGCCCGAGCTGATCCCTCAGCTGGTGGCCAACGTCACAGACCCCTCCAGCACCGAGCACATGAAGGAGTCCACGCTGGAGGCCATCGGATACATCTGCCAGGACATCGTGAGTGATCAGACACATTTCTCCAGTTCCCTCAATCTACTTTATTATTAATCTGAGTCTGATTAGAATAAATAAGTTTCTTAACTTGTGAGTCCACAATAACCCGTTTTATGGTGCCTTCAGGACCCAGAGCAGCTGCAGGAAAACGCCAACCAGATCCTGACAGCCATCATCCAGGGCATGAGGAAGGAGGAGCCCAGTAACAACGTCAAACTGGCAGCGACCAATGCTCTGCTCAACTCCCTGGAGTTCACCAAAGCCAACTTCGACAAGGAGGTACAGATGCACTTCCTGTACCCCTCTCTGTACCCCCCACTGTACCCTCTGACCCTTCTCTGACCCTTCTCTGACCCCTCTCTGTACCCCTCACTGTACCCCTCACTGTACCCCCCACTGTACCCCTCTCTGTACCCTCTCGTTATTTATGTAACGTAATGTTTTCTGTTGTTTCAGACGGAGAGACACTTCATCATGCAGGTCGTCTGTGAAGCTACGCAGTGTCCCGACACCAGAGTGAGTAACGCCGCACTCTCCGACCTCTCCTCGTGTTTGCTGCGAGCTGCGTTCTGTAACTGCGCTGTGTTTTCAGGTGCGTGTGGCGGCCTTACAGAACCTGGTGAAGATCATGTCTCTGTATTATCAGTACATGGAGACGTACATGGGTCCCGCTCTGTTCGCGGTAAGACAACATTTACACACCTGCTGCTCTACCTTCATTGCTGCCTGTCCCCCTCCTCTGTGCTCTTCAACCATCGTCTTCCTTCTCTCAGATCACCATCGAGGCGATGAAGAGTGATATCGATGAGGTGGCCTTACAGGGTATCGAGTTCTGGTCCAACGTGTGTGACGAGGAGATGGACCTGGCCATCGAGGCCTCAGAGGTCAGTGTAAGCAGACTTCATTACAATAGCCGCTTTAAAACCTCCAGTCTGTTAAAACCGCCCCCCCTTTGACTGTCTCTCTCCCTGTTTGCTCTCGTCCAATGGCAGGCCTCGGAGCAGGGCCGCCCCCCGGAGCACACGAGTAAGTTCTATGCCAAAGGGGCTCTACAGTACCTGGTCCCCATCCTGACCCAGACCCTCACCAAACAGGTAAAACATCTGGACTCTGTCAGCTCTGTAAAGATACAGGAAACGTAGTCCTTCATCTGACCTTCTGACCTTTGCAGGACGAGAATGACGACGACGATGACTGGAACCCCTGTAAGGCGGCGGGCGTGTGCCTGATGCTGCTGGCTACCTGCTGCGAGGACGACGTGGTTCCTCACGTTCTGCCCTTCATCAAAGAACACATCAAACACCCCGACTGGCGCTACAGAGACGCCTCCGTCATGGCCTTCGGATCCATCCTGGAAGGACCTGAACTCAACCAGCTCAAACCCCTCGTTATACAGGTCGGTGTCTGAATAACAAGCTCAATCCAGCCCCCCCTCTCTCTCTACGTCATCAACAACTCTCCCCCCTCCCCGCAGGCGATGCCAACTCTGATCGAGCTGATGAAGGACCCCAGCGTGGTGGTGAGAGACACCACAGCATGGACGGTGGGGAGGATCTGCGAGCTTCTGCCTGAAGCTGCCATCAATGAGGTCTACCTGGCCCCCCTGCTGCAGTGTCTGATTGAGGGCCTGGGGGCCGAGCCCAGAGTGGCCTCCAACGTCTGCTGGGTGAGCTGAAGGGTAGACTGTCGGGGTGGGCGGGATCCAGAAGGACCGGGAACAGGTTTAACGTCCCGTTTGTCCTCCAGGCTTTCTCCTCGCTGGCTGAAGCAGCTTACGAAGCCACAGACGCAGCAGAGGACCAGGAGGAGCCCAGCACCTATTGTCTGTCCTCATCCTTCGAAATCATTGTCCAGAAACTCCTGGAGACCACAGACAGGTAGAGGGGGGGGAGACAGGTTGCAGGGATCCCATGTGCCCGGGGAAAACACGGGACACCTGGAGGCAAAAAGATCACACTCATTGTGGTTGTTAAATACATGCAGACATGTTCATTGTAACAAACACTTGACTGTGCACAACATGAAAGTGTATATTAATACTGGACCCAGTGCTGCTCTGTACCGTCACTCAGAGTCCTGCAGAGTTCTCAATGAATGTAAAGTGAAGTTGTTTCACTTAATTTGGCTGTTTTGGTGCTAAAGTCAGATTTTGGCTCTAAGATGAGGTGTCACAGTATCTCTCTCTCTCACTCACACACACACACACATACACACACACTCTGTTTGTGGTGTGACCGCTTCCTGTTGCAGAGACTTCCTGTGCTCAGTGTAAAGTCAGCCGAGTGTTGGACTGCTCACTGAACCAAAGAGGAAGCTTTAAATAGAAACATGCTGCAGAGACAGAAGTTTGTATACAGACACTGTCGGACCTTCAGAGTGGTTCTATAGGTTCACGTATCTCTAACAGTCGATTGGATCACGGTGTGACGGTGAGCATGTGTTTCAGGCCCGACGGTCACCAGAACAACCTGCGCTCTGCTGCCTACGAGGCTCTGATGGAGATCGTGAAGAACAGCGCCAAAGACTGCTACCCTGCAGTCCAGAAGACCACTCTGGTGATCATGGAGAGGCTGCAGCAGGTCCTACAGATGGAGGTGAGACAGACACACAGGGCAGCATATTACAGGCTTTAAATTTGAAAGACCATCCTGTTAAGGTCTGCTTCCTCTTCCATCCCCCAGTCTCACATCCAGAGCACCTCAGACAGAATCCAGTTCAACGACCTGCAGTCGCTGCTGTGTGCCACTCTACAGGTGAGACTACACACCTGAGCCCTCAAACACCGCTCACGCTGTTATTGTGACAGAGCCGTTGGAGACAGTTTCCTGTGTGTATGTCTTGCAGAACGTCCTTCGTAAAGTGCAGCATCAGGACGCCCTGCAGATCTCGGACGTGGTGATGGCGTCTCTGCTGAGGATGTTTCAGAGCACCGCCGGCTCCGGAGGCGTTCAGGAGGACGCTCTGATGGCTGTGTCCACGCTGGTCGAAGGTACGAACACAGAGTACAGACTGATTACTGTACAAAGACCCACTGTAGAACTTTACTGTTTGAGCTCCACTCTGTAACAGAACCATAGTGGAGACCGTACAGGGAGGAAGGAGGATGAACTCTGTCTGTTTGTTTTCAGTTCTGGGCAGCGACTTCCAGAAATACATGGATGCCTTCAAACCTTTCCTGGGTATCGGACTGAAGAACTACGCTGAGTATCAGGTACTGTGAGCCGATCCTTCACAGGAGTGCTGCCACCAATCTGCTGCAGGCTGTCTGGATGATACTCACCATGATATTGATATATTGATGTATTGATTGGTTGCAGGTGTGCCTGGCGGCGGTGGGTCTGGTGTGTGACCTGTGCAGAGCTCTGATGTCCAACATCCTGCCTTTCTGTGACGAGATCATGCAGCTGCTGCTGGAGAACCTCGGGGTGAGGAAGAGGAGGAAGTGCACTCTCACCCTCCCACTCTCTTTCTACTTACCCTCCTGTCCTCCCCCCTCTGTGCAGTGTCCTCAGTAAACGTATGGATCAGTGTTTGAGTGTTTGGTCTGTGATGATAAATCATGTACCACGCTGATTGTGATGTAAAACTGACCACATTTATCTGACTCCACACTTCCTGTAGTTCATACAACTACGCACACACACACACACACACACACACACACACACACACACCTGTAGTCAGGACAGTGCGAGACTACAGACGGACAGACAGAGGAGGCTGCACATTTAGTCCAGCCTCGTTCCTGTCCTCCTGTTTATCTCTGGTTCCTCCTCTTCCTCCGTGTTGTCCACTGAAGACGATGCTCTCCCTGTACAGGCTCTGTTGTAACGTGATCTCTGTCTGTGTTCAGAACGAGAATGTCCATCGGTCGGTAAAGCCTCAGATCCTCTCGGCGTTCGGCGACATCGCTCTGGCCATTGGAGGAGAGTTCAAGAAGTACCTGGACATCGTCCTGGACACGCTGCAGCAGGCCTCTCAGGCACAGGTGGACAAGGTAAACACGGGAGGTCATTTCAGTTGGTAGAAGTAATAATAAGGTAATGTTAATGTGTCAATCAGCTGCTCTTTCTCACTTTCTCTCGTGTGTGTGTGTGTGTGTGTGTGTGTGTGTGTAGACGGACTACGACATGGTGGACTACCTGAACGAGTTGAGGGAGGGCTGTCTGGAGGCTTACACCGGGATCATCCAGGGCCTGAAGGGGGACCAGGAGAACGTCCACCGTAAGAGCAGCCGCACTCTGATCACATGACGCAGTGTGAGGTGACGTCGGTTCCTCCTCCTGACTTCAGTCGATCAGGAGGATTTTACGATGTCACAGAGACATTCGGGTCTTTTTCACCCAGAAAGCTCCAGGCTCCCGCAGCCAAACATAAACCGGCTTCCTGGTTTTGCAAGATCCAACAAACAAACAAAACTGTTGAACTCTGATTCTTCTGATACTTCGACGTTGTTTTAATCTGTCTCTCTCCCCTCTTCCCCCCCTTCCTCTCCCCCTGCAGCTGATGTGATGTTGGTTCAGCCTCGGGTGGAGTTCATCCTCTCATTCATCGATCACATAGCCGAGGATGAAGATCACTCTGATGGAGTGGTGGCCAACGCTGCCGGACTCATTGGGTACGCGGGGGGGGGAGGTTTGATGGACTCTGATTAACCTGTGGAGGATCTATTGAGCACAAAGCTTCAGACTGTTCTCTGTTTCTGGTCAATGAGGAGAAATCATGCACCACTCTGAGAGCGTGATGTTCAACACAAACCACAACGTCTGAGACCAGTTCACCCAGTTCAACCCAGTACACCCAGTTCACCCAGTACAGCTCCAGTCTGCCTCACTCAGATGTAACGTTAACGTTCATACACACACATTAAAGGTGATCAATAAACCCCAGTGCAGGAAGTATCCCTCAGGTTCTTTAAATACTCACTGTCTGTCGTTCCAATATGAGATTTCCTCATTAAACTACATGAGACTCATCCAACAGTTTCCTCGTGTCTGATCACACTAATGTTAGCATCTTCGTGTTAGCAGAGTAGCTGTCTGGTTCCTTCAGTTAGATACCAGCACTCACATGACAAACGCACTTTTTAATTCTGGGTAAAATGATTCTGCTTACACTCAATTTCAGCTTCCTGTTCAGTTCTTTCACATTAAAAGCCTCAGTACCGTTTGTTGTTGACGTGTGTGTGTTTTCCGTGTTGTGTTCAGTGACCTTTGCACGGCGTTCGGTAAAGACGTGATGAAGCTGGTGGAGGTTCGTCCACACATCAACGACCTGCTGACGGAGGGTCGACGCTCCAAGACCACCAAGACCAAGACCCTGGCCACCTGGGCCACCAAGGAGCTCCGCAAGCTCAAGAGCCAGGCCTGGTCAGAACTCTCTCACTGTCACTCACTCACTCACTCTCTCTCACTGTCACTGTCACTCTCACTCACTCACTCACTCACACAGAGTGTTTCTGGTCAATGAGGAGAAATCATGCACCACTCTGAGAGCGTGATGTTCAACACGAACCACAACGTCTGAGACCAGTTCACCCAGTTCATAATATATTATCCATAAAGATACAGTGTATACTGATCAATATCATCCATAAAGATAGTGTATACTGATCAATATCATCCATAAAGATAGTGTATACTGATCAATATCATCCATAAAGATACAGTGTATACTGATCAATATCATCCATAAAGATACAGTGTATACTGATCAATATGATCAATGACAGTATCATTGTATAGAGTTTACCCAACAGGAAATAGACCATCTCAAACACATCAAGTACATCTTTAAATCAAACACACTTGTGATGTTGAACAGTTTTTGTTGAGGTTGTTGTTGTTTTGTTGTTGTTGTCCTGCTGAGGGTTGTTGGTCCTCCCGCTGACTGTTTCTTCTTCTCCTCTCAGATTCTTGCTGGTCAGGGAAGAGAGAGAGAGAGACGAGAGAGAGATCGACATCAGTGAACAATGAGGACAAACTGCCCCACTGGAATTAACTCTTCTGTCTTCGCGGCGGAGTCCGCCGCTCAGAGAGGAAGTGATGAGTGACTGTGTGTGAGCGAGCGAGAGAGAGAGAGAGAGAGACGTGTGAGCGAGTGAGAGACGATGACATCACACCACCTTGAGTTCCAGCAGGTGACACCCCCCGCCCCCCCCCCCCCCTCCAGCCCAACCTCCCCCCTCCCCTCCTGGACGGCCTGTGGACTGGACTCTGACTCCCCCAAAATAAAATAAAAAACAAAAACTCACCTTTCGAGCCCTCCCTCCCTCCTCCCACAATCCACCTCTCTCGCTGTAGCCGGGCTCTCCTGCGACATCACGATGACGTCACTGACCCGCCGCCACCGCCCCTCGAGCCGGGGGAGGGAGGGGAGGAGGGGAAAAACACGACGTGAAAAATAAAAGACTTTAATGGAATCAAAGATAAAATCGAGCGGACTCTGTGGACTTCTGTGGAAAACTTTAGATTTTTGTTGCTCTTACTTTTCTTCTTCTTCTTTCCGAGCACTAAAACAGCGAAGGAGGACCCCAACGGCGCCTCCCACCCGTGCTCAACGCTCTTATCCAAACAACAGCAGCACTAAATTCCTTCAAAATAAAAGTTCAAGCCGACGAGGAATCCTCCGAGAAGCGAGTGCCAAATGGAAACAGTCTAGCGGAGAATAAAACGAGTGGTGCGAGCTGCTGGTTTCAGTTTTTATTTCCCCGCTGCACTTTGTTTTTTTGGGAAAAGGTCACTCACCATTTTTGCTTGTTTAAAAAAAAAAAAAAAAAAAAGTTGCGAGAATTGAAGACGTTTGTATAAGGTTATATTTTTCCATTGCTATGATGAAAATAAAGTAAAAAACAATAAAATGATATGAAACATTCCCCAAGCAGTTCTGGTGATTTCGGTCTTTTTGTCGTCCGTTGGACTCCCGGACTGACGACTCTGGACTCTGCCGATTGGAAGCTGAACTTTTGGCTCCGCCTCCCGCTGACGGTTTGTTTACTCAACGCCACAAAGAACTCAGATTTTTGTTGGTTTTTTTTTTTTTTTTTTTTTTTTTTTTTAAAACTCACTTCATGGCTTGTTTGGTAGCAGCAGCTCAGCTCTCGGCTGACGGGGAGTTTTGGTTGGGACGTTGTTGGTTTTGGCGTGAAAATCATGCCAGGAAACTGAGTGCGCTCAGTGCCGCCTGTCCGCCTCGGCTCCGGCTCGGACCACTTCACTTTCGTTACGGATAATCAGACGAGTGGAAGCTCTCTCTGTAGGAAATAAAAAATCTTTGAGTTGAAAGTGAAGTGTCTCCAGCCTCTGAGGGCTTTTATTTTGTAGAGGTGCGGCAGCCGTACTTCCTATGTTGACATGATGAACCTGGCAACTCGATTATTACTGAATTGTGAATCATTTAAAGCCAATCTGCTTTTTATTTCATATTCAACTTTAGTGAACTAATAAAGTCTATATTGTACTGAACGCTTTGATACTGCTTCTTCTGCCGACACCCTGATATTCAGCTTCCTGTGCGACGGCCTCGTCACTCAGTAAGACACAATAATAACCCTCCTAAACGGGCCACAGCCTCACTGTTAGTAACAACCCTGACACTAGTTTATCACAGAAACACCTGGTAGTGGATTAAAATGAGCAAATATCCTGTAATACCTGCTTGTATTTCATCCTGTGTTGAATCAATGATACTGATAGAGGAAAAGTAGTCAGCAGACCTTTTTCACAGCAGCTGTTTTGACATGAAATAGTCAGGTAAACCTTTCCATTCAGGTCAAACAGTTGGGGCATTGAGGCTCTGCTACACTAAATGGAACGGAGCCTTTATCAGTAATCAGGCTGAGACCACAATGACACCACTGATATCTATAAACAGTTGTTTACAACAACAAACAACTCTGACTCTAAAATATTTTTCTTAAAGTGAAAAACTTCACAAACATTGTTACATAATCTAAACAATTGTTTTACATAAGAATGAAATACAAGTGATTATTATGGGCCAATCATTGATGTAAAGTACGTTAAGTATATAGTATATAAAGTATCCAAATTATATTAAGTACGTAAAGTATATATATTATATAAATTACGTAAAGTATAAAAAGTATATAAAGTACGTAAAGTATATAAAGTACGTAAAATATATAAACTACATAAAGTATATAAAGTATCTGAATTATATAAAGTACGTAAAGTATATAAAGTACGTAAAATATATAAAGTATATAAAGTATCTGAATATATAAAGTACGTAAAGTATATAAATTATATAAAGTAAGTAAAATATATAAAGTATCTGAATTATATAAAGTACGTAAAGTATATAAAGTACGTAAAGTATATAAAATAAAGTTCGAAAAGTATATGAAGTATCTAAATTATATAAAGTACATGAAGTATATAAAGTATCTAAATTATATAAAGTACGTAAAGTATATAAAGTATCTTAAGTACGTAAAATATATAAAGTACATAAAGTATCTGAATTATATAAAGTACGTAAAGTATCTAAAGTTTATAAAGTACGTAAAGTATATAAAGTACACAAAGTATATAAAGTACGTAAATTACGTAAAGTATCTAAAGTACGTAAAGTACACAAAGTATATAAATTATATAAAGTACACAAAGTATATAAAGCACGTAAAGTATCTAAAGTACGTGAAGTACACAAGGTATATAAAGTACATAAAGTACACAAAGTATCTAAAGTACATAAAGTATATAAAGTACATAAATTACATAAAGTACACAAAGTATATAAAGTACATAAAGTACACAAAGTATATAAAGTACATAAATAACATAAAGTACACAAAGTATATAAAGTACATAAAGTATCTAAAGTACGTAAAGTATATAGAGTACCTAAAGTATATAAAGTATCTAAATTATATAAAGTACGTAAAGTATATAAAGTATCTAAAGTACGTAAAGTACATAAAGTATATAAAGTACTAAAAGTATATAAAGTACGTAAAGTACATAAAGTACGTAAAGTATATAAAGTACACAAAGTATCTAAAGTACGTAAAGTACACAAAGTATATAAAGTACATAAATTACATAAAGTACACAAAGTATATAAAGTACATAAAGTATCTAAAGTACGTAAAGTATATAGAGTACCTAAAGTATATAAAGTATCTAAATTATATAAAGTACGTAAAGTACATAAAGTATCTAAAGTACGTAACGTACATAAAGTACATAAAGTATATAAAGTACTTAAAGTATATAAAGTACGTAAAGTACGTAAAGTACATAAAGTACGTAAAGTATATAAAGTATATAAAGTACATAAAGTATGTAAAGTACACAAAGTATATAAAGTACGTAAAGTATATAAAGTACATAAATTACATAAAGTACATAAAGTACACAAAGTACACAAAGTACATAAAGTATCTAAAGTACGTGAAGTATATAGAGTACCTAAAGTATATAAAGTATCTAAATTATATAAAGTACGTAAAGTATATAAAGTATCTAAAGTACGTAAAGTATATAAAGTACGTAAAGTATCTAAAGTATGTAAAGTACACAAAGTACGCAAAGTATATAAAGTATATAAAGTACACAAAGTATCTAAAGTATAAAAAGTATATAAAGTATCTAAATTATATTAAGTACGTAAAGTATATAAAGTATCTAAAGTACGTAAAGTATATAAAGTACGTAAAGTATCTAAAGTATGTAAAGTACACAAAGTACGCAAAGTATATAAAGTATATAAAGTACACAAAGTATCTAAAGTATAAAAAGTATATAAAGTATCTAAATTATATTAAGTACGTATAGTATATAAAGTATCTAAAGTACGTAAAGTACATAAAGTACATAAAGTATATAAAGTACTTAAAGTATATAAAGTATGTAAAGTATATAGAGTACCTAAAGTATATAAAGTATCTAAATTATATAAAGTACGTAAAGTATATAAAGTATCTAAAGTACGTAAAGTACATAAAGTATATAAAGTACTTAAAGTATATAAAGTACGTAAAGTACATAAAGTACGTAAAGTATATAAAGTACACAAAGTATCTAAAGTACGTAAAGTACACAAAGTATATAAAGTATATAAAGTACGTAAAGTATATAAAGTACATAAATTACATAAAGTACATAAAGTACACAAAGTATATAAAGTACGTAAAGTATATAGAGTACCTAAAGTATATAAAGTATCTAAATTATATAAAGTACGTAAAGTATATAAAGTATCTAAAGAACGTAAAGTATATAAAGTACGTAAAGTATCTAAAGTACGTAAAGTACACAAAGTACGCAAAGTATATAAAGTATATAAAGTACATAAAGTACACAAAGTATCTAAAGTATAAAAAGTATATAAAGTATCTAAATTATATTAAGTAAGTATAGTATATAAAGTATCTAAAGTACGTAAAGTACATAAAGTACATAAAGTATATAAAGTACTTAAAGTATATAAAGTACTTAAAGTATATAAAGTATGTAAAGTATATAGAGTACCTAAAGTATATAAAGTATCTAAATTATATAAAGTACGTAAAGTATATAAAGTATCTAAAGTACGTAAAGTACATAAAGTACATAAAGTATATAAAGTACGTAAAGTATATAAAGTACGTAAAGTATATAAAGTACAGAAAGTATTTAAAGTACATAAAGTATCTCAAGTATCTAAAGTATATAAAGTATGTAAAGTATATAGAGTACCTAAAGTATATAAAGTATCTAAATTATATAAAGTACGTAAAGTACATAAAGTATATAAAGTACATAAAGTATCTAAAGTACATAAAGTATACAAAGTATCTTAAGTATATAAAGTACGTAAAGAATATAAAGTATGTAAAGTACGCAAAGTACGTAAAGTATATAAAGTACATAAAGTACGTAAAGTACGTGAACAACTTAAATTACTTTAAGTATTTAAAGTACATAAATCAATCAATAATTGATCCAGTAATCCAGTAATATCGTATAAAGTACCCCAAAAGTTACTGAGTACTTTTACTCTGTAATATTTTTTGTCTTACTGTGGTGACGTTCCTCTGCCAGCTGCGATGGCCGAGTGGTTAAGGCGTTGGACTTGAAATCCAATGGGGTCTCCCCGCGCAGGTTCGAACCCTGCTCGCAGCGACACGCTCCAACGTAATGACGTTGTATTTTGGCGAAGTACTGCAACCTACTGACGTATAGGAATAATGACGTAATAGAGAAAATACGAATGTAATACTCACGATAATAATAACAATAACAATAATAACAAAAATAATGTTAATGAGAAACAAACAAGCATTGATCCTCTCATTGGCTGTAATATTGGTAATATTGGTAATATCAGTTCAGTCTGTGGATCCATTTACGGTTCTGATTCTCAGTGACGTAATAACAACAACAACAACAAGAACAATAATAATATAAATAATAACAAAGATATAAGTTTTATATCAGAAACCGAATGATGGATCGATAATGAAACTATTGATCACACTGTGCCCGTTATTGATCGGAGCCGTGTTGTTGGAGAGAGAGCTCCGGTAGTGACGGAGGCTCTCCGGTACCGGGAAGTGTTTGATCGGTCGGAGGTTTCGGTTCACTCCGGTTATCAATCAGCTCGGATCGATTATTGATGCCGCCGCTGCGCAGCCGCCGTGCGCCCCCCACCCACCACCAACATCATCACCATCATCATCATCATCATCATCATCACATCCATGTTGTCAACCGGAGGATGAGTCGGTAGGAGGCTAACAGCGAGCTAACGTTACCGAGCGGCGGCGCCAGCAGCGGAGCCGTTACCGACCCCTCCCGGAGCGGACTGTCGATGGCCGTCAGCCGCGGTTCCGACGGGCTGCCCGGTTCTCTGAGCGGGGAGGACGCAGCAGCTAGCCGCCGTTAGCCCCGCAGCTAGCCGCCGTTAGCCCGCACTGTGTATGTTTATGGCGATTATGTAAGCTAAGCTAACGTTAGCCGCAGGATGAGTGACGCGCAGCAGGAAGTGTCTCCTGATTTCGTCCTGATGCGGCTCGTGTCCGCGGCCGAGTACGACCGGCTGCACGAGACCGACGACCTGAGGCCCGGAGGCGGCGGGTTCGGGTCCGTGAAGTCCGTGCTGGGTCACCACGGCGGCGGCTTCGACCTGGACCCCAGCGGCCCCTCGGCGGGCCTCGGCTCGGCCTCCCCGCACTACAGCTCTCCGCTGCCCGGGAAAGGTGAGCTGGACGGCGGGTTGGGGCTGACGGAGGCCCCGCTGGGCTCCGAGGCGCCGCTGGCCCCCCCGCCGGAGGACTTTGCCGTAGCGGCGCAGCGGTTCGTGGACTCCGGGGGGCCCGGGTCCAGGGCGCAGCTGATGGTGTTTCAGAACCTGTTGCGGTCCGGAGACCGGATCCTGGAGTGCGGACTGGAGCAGCCGCCCCTGGGGTTCCTGCAGGAGGACTCAGAGAGACTGGACTCCGGACCGGGTCCTGGTAGTACAGCTGGAGGCGGCAGGGACCAGCACCACCTCCCCTCTGCAGAGGAGAACCAGGTCCTGCAGTGGCACCCCGTCCATAGACTCTCCAAGGGGTCCGACGGATCCCAGACTCTCCAGCAGGGCGTCCCGGCTCTGGACTCTGAGTCCGGGTCCGTCCTCTGCCACCGACACCGCTCCCTCACAGACCGGCTCGCCAAATGGCCCCCGGACCTGCTGGATCAGGCCCTGCGTCTGCTAGAGCCCAGGAAGAACGAGGACCCGGTCCTGGCTCTTGCCCGGAGGCTGGGCCAGCTAGGGGAGGGGAGGGAGGGAGGAGGTGGGGGTGAGATCCAGGTCCCGAGGTGCTCCTGTCACAGCGTGCTGGCCTCGGGGACGGGGGGCGAGGACCCGAGTGAGACCAGTGACGCCCTGCTGGTCCTGGAAGGTCTGGGTTCTGAGGAGGTGGGGGGACTCGGGGATGGGGGGGGGAAAGGGTTGGGGGGTCCTCTGGGGGGACCCTGAGTGGTCTGATGAGGCAGGTCCACAGACTGGCGGAGGAGGCGGGGGTCTGTACCGATCAGGGCTGCCGACCCCTCCCCTCCTGCCCCCCCACCTCACCCTGCCTGTATCCCCCAGTCTGCCCGCAGGCCCTCCAGGTCTCCCCCGACCCCCCGGACCCCCAGCGCCACCACCAGTCCCGGTCCCAGCCCCAGAGTCGAGCCGCCACCCCCAAACTCGGCGTGGCCTCGGGGGGAGCGGGGCGCTGTGCCTCCCCTCTGGTGGTCCTGGAGGGGGAGGCAGGAGTCGGGAGGGAGGGGGAGAAGACTCCACGGGGGAAGTCCAGGAAAGGGGGGTCCCTGAAGGTCCGGCTCAGCAAGCTGTTCCGGACCAAGAGCTCCAGTGGGGGGTCGGGGGGGCTGCTGGACAAGAGACCGTCTCTGGCGTCGTCCACCTCGTCCGGGGGGAGTCTGCTGGACGTGTGGGGGTCCACGGAGCAGGACAGCAGCAGGTGAGAGCCTCTGATCACCATGGCAACAGATTGATCAATAATCAATAAACAGTGTATACACTAAAGCTATCTTCTATATGAGCTGAATCAGTCAATAATATATAATCAATAAACAGGTTTCACTGGTTGCTGTCCTGTTTAAAATGTCTCATAATAATATTATTGATCATATTGATAATATTATTGATACGTTAGCTCCTCACTGTGTGTGAGCGGACTGAGGGCGCCCCCTACTGGAGGAAACTGATCAATGACAGACAGTCAGTGAGTGTGTCTGTGTCCAACTCTTCCTCACAGGTTAGTTAATGACAGACAGTCAGTGAGTGTGTCTGTGTCCAACTCTTCCTCACAGGTTAGTTAATGATGTTACTGAGTCAATGTGAGCAGATTGTGTCTGTAGACTGAAGAGAATCAGAGTCTCACTGATGGTGGAAATAAAGGTTTTACTTCCTTAAAACAGCCGTTTTTTGAATGGAGTTTGGTGTGACAGTGTGGAGCAGAGGGGATTTGAACCTTAATAATTCTCATAAACTGAGCCGACCTACCTTCTGATAATGAACCTTGGAAACAGCAGAAAGTAACAGGAAGTGGGGATAAACCCTGTTTTCTTCTTCTGTGGTAGTAAAAGGTAGTTTACAGAAACGTCACATTGGACACAAACAGTTGTTTATTGATTCTATAGAACGACAGATTATTGATTATTTGGCTCTGACTGTACAGATACTGTCCTACAGTATGTCAGAATTTACATTTACCAGTCAAGTTAGAGAGACTGCTTCCTCCCAAAAGGGGGCGGGGCTTGCTGCAGTGTGCTCTCTCAGCTATTGGCTGGTTTCATACAGGTGGATTGTTGCAGACCCATCAGGAACCAGAGGAACCAGAGGAACCAGAACCTCTGCTGATGTTCTTACAGCATCCAGATGTTTGATATCTGCACATTGAATCCGAGGTTAAAGTTGTGATGCAGATATTGATCGTGAATATCTGCCAGCTTCAGACCGCTAACAATTTATCTCATCATCAGAGTTTAATTACCGATGAGATCTCAAACTGATGATCAGAGATATTTTCATTGATCACTGATCGGTTGTTGTTTATCTGGCGGCTGATACAGTGTGACTCATCAAACTAATAACTTTATTATAGATTATTGAACAGGTTCAATAAGCTCTGGTTCAATTGCTGCTGCCCCAGTGTGTGACCCACAGCCCCCCAGTGTGTGACCCACAGCCCCCCCAGTGTCTGACCCACAGCCCCCCCAGTGTCTGACCCACAGCCCCCCCAGTGTGTGACCCACAGCCCCCCAAGTGTCTGACCCACAGCCCCCAGTGTCTGACCCACAGCGCCCCCAGTGTCTGACCCACAGCCCCCCAGTGTCTGACCCACAGCGCCCCCAGTGTCTGACCCACAGCCCCCCAGTGTCTGACCCACAGCCCCCAGTGTCTGACCCACAGCCCCCCAGTGTCTGACCCACAGCCCCCAGTGTCTGACCCACAGCCCCCCCCAGTGTGTGACCCACAGCCCCCCAGTGTCTGACCCACAGCCCCCCCCAGTGTCTGACCCACAGCCCCCCAGTGTGTGACCCACAGCCCCCCCAGTGTCTGACCCACAGCCCCACCCAGTGTCTGACCCACAGCCCCCCAGTGTGTGACCCACAGCCCCCCCAGTGTGTGACCCACAGCCCCACCCAGTGTCTGACCCACAGCCCCCCAGTGTCTGACCCACAGCGCCCCCAGTGTCTGACCCACAGCCCCCCCAGTGTCTGACCCACAGCCCCCAGTGTCTGACCCACAGCCCCCCAGTGTCTGACCCACAGCCCCCCAGTGTCTGACCCACAGCCCCCCAGTGTCTGACCCACAGCCCCCCAGTGTCTGACCCACAGCCCCCCAGTGTCTGACCCACAGCGCCCCCAGTGTGTGACCCACAGTGCCCCCAGTGTCTGACCCACAGCCCCCCAGTGTCTGACCCACAGCGCCCCCAGTGTCTGACCCACAGCGCCCCCAGTGTCTGACCCACAGCCCCCCAGTGTCTGACCCACAGCGCCCCCAGTGTGTGACCCACAGCCCCCCAGTGTCTGACCCACACGCCCCCAGTGTGTGACCCACACGCCCCCCAGTGTCTGACCCACAGCCCCCAGTGTCTGACCCACAGCCCCCCAGTGTGTGACCCACAGCCCCCCCAGTGTCTGACCCACAGCGCCCCCAGTGTGTGACCCACAGCCCCCCCAGTGTCTGACCCACAGCCCCCAGTGTCTGACCCACAGCGCCCCCAGTGTCTGACCCACAGCGCCCCCAGTGTCTGACCCACAGCGCCCCCAGTGTGTGACCCACAGCCCCCCAGTGTCTGACCCACAGCCCCCCTGCTGGCTCACTGAGTCACAATAACTGCAGGAGGTATTGATCAGAGTCCTCTGTATTGGTAACACGGGAATGTGATCAGTTGTTTTAACTCAACAGTTGCAGAGGATTACAGTCACTGATTATTGATTATTGATTATTAGGACCACAGCATTTATTGTGTTTGACTCTGATCTAAACATACAGCAGAACAAACTTCAGACGACCGCCGCACAACTTTCTGTCACTGTTGTCATGGCGATAAGCAGCTCGGGAGGGAGAGAAAGGAGGGGTTGCCATGGCGATGGCATCACTTGAAACTTCCTGTGTCCGACGCTGCTCTGATGAGCTCGTAACCATGGCAACAGAAAGAACAAAGCCTTTGTTTACTCACAACAATAACAACAAGTGTTCAGATAAACATAAAACCAACATCAACCAGACTCCTTTTATAAATATACCCACAATGCACCACACAGCGTCTCTCCTGCAGGGCTGCTGTTAAAATCTGTCTGATCAATAAAATCTGTCTGATCAATAAAATCTGTCTGATCAATAAAATCTGTCTGATCAATAAAATCTGTCTGATCAATAAAATCTGTCTGATCAATAAAACGTTTGTCTGATCAATAAAACGTTTGTCTCCATCAGGCTGCAGGTGTCCAGACCTCACAGTGCCTTCTCTCCGGTGCCCTTCACTCCCGCTTTCACTGGTAAAAACAGTGTGTGCGTGCGTGTGTGTGTGTGTGTGTGTGTGTGTGTCACTGTGTGTGTGTTTGCGTGTGTCACTGAATGAATAAAGTTTACAAACAAAGAACAAAAAAGTTTCTTCTTCTAGACTTCCTACAGATTTCCTCTTCTGTGTCTAAAACTAACATTTTCCCTCCTTTTCTCTTAACATCTGTGTGTGTGTGTGTGTGTGTGTGTGTGTGTGTGTGTGTGTGTGTGTGTGTGTGTGTGTGTGTGTGTGTGTGTGTGTGTGTGTCCAGGTGAGACGGTGTCTCTGGTTGATGTGGATATTTCTCGGAGGGGGGTGAACTCTCTCCACCCCCCGACACCTCCTCCCCCACCCAGACGGAGCCTCAGTCTGCTCGGTACTTTTCTCCTGTCTGTCTGTCTGTCTGTCTGTCTGTCTGTCTGTCTGTCTGTCTGTCTGTCTGTCTGTCTGTCTGTCTGTCTGTCTGTCACTACCTCTCTCTTTGCCCCGCCCCCTGCAGGTGACAGCTCTCAGGTGTGAAACGTCTTTCTGTCTCTTGCAGATGATTTCGGGGGTCATCCTCAGCAGCAGGGTCCGTTCATGGAGCGCAGTGTGGGGGCGTCCATGCAGTCTCTGCCCCCCCGACCGCTGGCCCTGCCCCCCTCCCTCAGCACCATCCAACACAGCCTGAGCCTCAACGGTGATGTATATCATTGTTATCTGATAATCACACTGATCAGTAATCAATACTCCCATTATTAAAGTATTAATCAACCTGATCAGCCTTCAGCAGTTAGCTAGTGTTTCTGTAGTGGAGACTAAACGTTAACAATGATCCATATCAGCAGTTTGAATCCAACTAAAAGCTCCCTGCACCAAACTCCCTTTAAGAAATATCACATTTTAACAATTCCTAACGTGTTCGTAACAACACGTAACTCTAGAAACACGAGCTAAAGGCCGTCATATGTCCACAGTCTGACTGTCAATACAGGATCAATATCATCCATAAAGATACAGTGTATACTGATCAATATCATCCATAAAGATACAGTGCATACTGATCAATAATCAATAAAGATACAGTGTATACTGATCAATATAATCAATAAAGATACAGTGTATACTGATCAATAATCAATAAAGATACAGTGTATACTGATCAATATAATCAATAAAGATACAGTGTATACTGATCAATAATCAATAAAGATACAGTGTATACTGATCAATATCATCCATAAAGATACAGTGTATACTGATCAATATCATCAATAAAGATACAGTGTATACTGATCAATAATCAATAAAGATACAGTGTATACTGATCAATATAATCAATAAAGATACAGTGTATACTGATCAATATCATCCATAAAGATACAGTGTATACTGATCAATAATCAATAAAGTATTCTCTTCCTCTGTGGAGCAGACACCTTCCTCAGAGGTCTACCGAGGCCGGTCCCTCTGCGTCCCGACGGTCAGCTCCACCCTCCCCGACTCGTCCCCCGCTGCCCCCTCAGTCGACCCGACGCTGGCAGCTTCGCCACCAGCCTCAGAGAACTGGAGAAGGTGGGTCCTTTAAAACCTCAATGTCTCACATACTGAGTACTGGAGGGGAGCGGAGCTAATGTGTGTGTGTGTGTGTGTGTGTGTGTGTGTGTGTGTGTGTGTGTGTGTGTGTGTGTGCGCGCAGTGCGGTTGGTACTGGGGGCCGATGAACTGGGAGGACGCGGAGATGAAGCTGAAGGGGAAACCGGACGGATCGTTTCTGGTTCGAGACAGTTCAGACCCGCGATACATCCTGAGTCTGAGCTTCAGATCGCAGGGAGTCACACACCACACACGCATGGAGCACTACAGAGGTAACACACACACACACACACACACACACACACACACACACACACACACACACACACACACTCACTCTCTCACTCTCTCTCTCTCTCTCTCTCTCTCTCTCTTAGCTAATGTTAGCTCTGACTGTGGACTGTGTGCACGCAACTGTAGTGATGTAACTGTGAGTAACTGTCTGTCCTCCTGTCTGTCTGTCCTCCTGTCTGTCTGTCTGTCCTGTCTGTCTGTCCTCCTGTCTGTCTGTCCTCCTGTCTGTCTGTCCTCCTGCAGGGACCTTCAGTCTCTGGTGTCATCCCAAGTTTGAGGACCGCTGTCACTCGGTGGTGGAGTTCATAGAGAGAGCCATCATGCACTCCAAGAACGGAAAGTTCCTCTACTTCCTGCGCTCTAGAGTCCCTGGTAACCAATCACCTCCACATGTCTGTCTCCACCTGTCTGTCTCTACATTCAGACTGGCTGTTGTCGTCTTCCTCTTCCTGTAAAGCAGTCTGTAATTGCTGCTGTATAAATAAAGTTTTGCTCGTGTTCAGGTCTGCCCCCGACCCCGGTCCAGCTCCTGTACCCGGTCTCCAGGTTCAGCAGCGTTAAATCTCTGCAGCATCTCTGTCGCTTCTGCATCAGGCAGCTGGTCCGTATAGACCACATCCAGGAGCTGCCGCTGCCCACGTGAGTGCATGTTGGCACTGTTTGTATACAGCCACTCCCTCCTTCCCTGCACTCACATATGCCACACAGTGTTTCCTCTAGGATTTTTTTTAGCAGTGGGGGCAGGCCCGTCCGAACTGACATTTCTAATACCATGGCGGCAGAAATTTAACATAGAGGAAACACTGCCAAGTGCTAAGCTAATCTATGTTGGAAAGACAAGATGGTGAAAATATATAAGAGAAATTTAGTCGCATCTTAAAGTCGGGTTAAGAAAACTGGAACCATACAAACACTTTCTCTTTATTTCATACAGCATATATTTTATACAGTTTATATTTCATACAGTTTATATTATACAGTTTATATTTTATACAGTATATATTTTATACAGTATATATTTCATACAGTATATATTTCATACAGTTTATATTTTATACAGTTTATATTTCATACAGTTTATATTTTATACAGTTTATATTTTATACAGTATATATTTTATACAGTATATATTTCATACAGTTTATATTTTATACAGTATATATTTCATACAGTTTATATTTTATACAGTTTATATTTCATACAGTATATATTATACAGTTTATATTTCATACAATATATATTTTATACAGTATATATTTCATACAGTATATATTTTATACAGTATATATTTCATACAGTATATATTATACAGTTTATATTTAATACAGTATATATTTCATACAGTTTATATTTTATACAGTATATATTTAATACAGTATATATTATACAGTTTATATTTCATACAGTATATATTATCCAGTTTATATTTCATACAGTATATATTATCCAGTTTATATTTCATACAGTTTATATTTTATACAGTTTATATTTCGTACAGTATATATTTTATACAGTTTATATTTAATACAGTATATATTTCATACAGTTTATATTTTATACAGTATATATTTTATACAGTATATATTTCATACAGTTTATATTTTATACAGTATATATTTTATACAGCTTATATTTTATACAGTATATATTATACAGTTTATATTTCATACAGTATATATTATCCAGTTTATATTTCATACAGTTTATATTTTATACAGTTTATATTTCGTACAGTATATATTTTATACAGTATATATTATACAGTATATATTTTATACAGTTTATATTATACGGTTTATATTTTATACAGTATATATTTTATACAGTATATATATTATACAGTATATATTTTATACAGTTTATATTTTATACAGTATATATTTCGTACAGTATATATATTATACAGTTTATATTTTATACAGTTTATATGTTATACAGTATATGTTATACAGTTTATATTTCATACAGTTTATATTTTATACAGTATATATTTCGTACAGTATATATATTATACAGTATATATTTTATAGTGTATATTTCATACAGTTTATATTTTATACAGTATATATTTCGTACAGTATATATATTATACAGTATATATTTTATAGTGTATATTTCGTACAGTATATATATTATACAGTATATATTTCGTACAGTATATATATTATACAGTATATATTTTATAGTGTATATTTCGTACAGTATATATATTATACAGTATATATTTTATACAGTATATATTATACAGTATATATTTTATAGTGTATATTTTATACAGTATATATTTCGTACAGTATATATATTATACAGTATATATTTCATACAGTTTATATTTAATACAGTATATATTTCATACAGTTTATATTTTATACAGTATATATTTTATACAGCTTATATTTTATACAGTATATATTATACAGTTTATATTTCATACAGTATATATTATCCAGTTTATATTTCATACAGTTTATATTTTATACAGTTTATATTTCGTACAGTATATATTTTATACAGTATATATTTTATACAGTTTATATTATACGGTTTATATTTTATACGGTTTATATTTTATACAGTATATATTTTATACAGTATATATATTATACAGTTTATATTTTATACAGTTTATATGTTATACAGTATATGTTATACAGTTTATATTTCATACAGTTTATATTTTATACAGTATATATTTCGTACAGTATATATATTATACAGTATATATTTTATAGTGTATATTTCATACAGTTTATATTTTATACAGTATATATTTCGTACAGTATATATATTATACAGTTTATATTTTATACAGTGTATATATATTATACAGTGTATATATATTATACAGTTTATATTTCATACAGTTTATATTTTATACAGTTTATATTTCATACAGTATATATTTTATACAGTTTATATTTTATACAGTATATATTTCGTACAGTATATATTTCGTACAGTATATATATTATACAGTTTATATTTCGTACAGTATATATTTCGTACAGTATATATTTCGTACAGTATATATATTATACAGTTTATATTTCGTACAGTATATATATTATACAGTATATATTTTATACAGTATATATTTCAGTATATATTTACCACAAGCTGCGGCTCGCTCTCTGTTCAGGCCGCTCATTTCCTACCTGAGAAAGTTTTACTACTACGATCCCGAGGAGGAGATCAACCCGTCCCTGAAGGAGAGAGGACCGGAGCCCAGCAGCCAGCCGAGGGTCCAGTCTCAAACGTAGCACTGGAGCCTCAGAGGACCACGTGAGTCTGTTTTAATAGAAAGGATTAACTAACCGCTCCAGTTAATGAGCCTTCAGAACTGTAATAAAGACACAATATGTATTATAGATATTTATCTATAGTTCATTTATGACCCAATCCCTACAGGAAACAGCATGGAGAGTCTCCTGTCTGTCTCTCTCCAGTCTGTCTCTCGTCTGTCTGTCTCCTGTCTGTGTTACAGTATTCTCTGTTGTCAAACTAGTAAAAATAAACTCTTAATTCACTGCAGTGCGATGTGAAAATACACAATTAAATCAGCCCAAAAAAAAGACAAAATTTGGCCAAATAATCGTCCATAAAACCAGCTGGGTTGGCGATGTATTCGTCACCAGCCACAGGACGTCATAAAGCTGCCCCCGTCTGAACAGTGCGATTTTATTACATTTTACACTTTTACCATATAAAATGGACTTCAATAAAAACACGTCTCCTTTCTTTTCCCCTACAGTTCTTTTCTTTTCTTCGTTTTTTGGTCACTCGATTGCTGAAGGACATTCAGACATTCAAACTGGACTCACAGAGTGCAGCCAATCAGCTCCCTCCGCTCAGTCCTGTATCCGGGCGGGGTTTCAGATGATCCACCCTCCCCCGTGCGCTCTGATTGGCTCGCGGAGAGTCGACAGGGGAGGGGCCGGGGATGTGGAGACTCCGCCCCTCTTTTGATGTCATCACTGAGCAGCTGTACTAAAGGCAATGTGACATCGCTGTTAGCAAACACGCTAAATCTCTAAAAAAACAAAGAACCTCAGTGCGAGGAGAGAAACATTTGTCGCCTCCGGGATCCTTTAACTTCCAACGCAGAGCTGAAGAAGAAAAAGCACTTTGGGACCTAACGACAGTGACTTTAAATAAAGGACAAATATTTAACGCTGGAGGTCTTTCTCAGTTCAAACCACGCCAAGAATTCAGTCCGTTCCACTTTACTAAGTTTACATTAAACTGTCCAATAAAAACTAAAAGCGTAACGGTCACACCAGAGCACAGCCAGATTCATCCACATGGTCAGTTAACCGCTAACACGTTAGCACCAGTCAGTCACAATATCTCTCCGAGCAGCTTCCTGAGTTCTTTCTGTTCAACTTTTCAGTCAACAAAGAGGGAAAATACGCTGGTTAGCTTAGCTTGGTGGCTAACAGGTAACAGATATAGTCAGGATTCGATTTTTATAAGAAAATGAGAAACATTCTTTTATTTCTTTGACAAAAATCTACAAAATGTGTTTTCTTTATCTTTCTTTATATATTTAATTAAATAATAATTTTATATTTCTGAGTCCAAAGTGAACGGCGCCCTCTGCTGTCCAGAGAGATTATCACGATTCATTTTAATCTTCACATATTTGTATTAGCAGCTGTATTACTTCGATGTATAGACGGCATTTAGAGCGCTGCAGGGATCTCAGTTAGCATTTTAGCTAACGAATCGTGTGTTTTTGGTTAAAATACGGTCTGTGGTTGGGAGGGTTCGGTCAGTTTGAGCCAGTTTACTCTGTGAGTGAATAAACTGATTCTGCCACAAACTGTTGGTGTTTTAGATTCTGGTGTGACCGGGTCTCTGCTTTTAAAATGGACTAATCTAATCCACCCAAAGCATTCTGGGTAAAATGGGCAGAACAAAAGCAGTTATTTGGACTGAATGTGGACTGAAGAATGCAGATTGAGAATGGCCTCGTCTCACTCTGATTCTGCGGTATATTGTATCTTTAACAGCAACATGAACTGAACCGTGGGCAGAACAATCTCACCACAGGGTCCATTTAGTGGCAGTTCTGGAGCTCTCAAATGGACCACAGCCGTTTTTCTGAGCACTTAAAGGACTTGTTGTCCGTGTTGACTTGAAAGTTGTGATTGAAAGTTCATTCTTTGGACAGGAACAGAATTGGACTGATGGAGCTGTTCCGATACCGAGTTCTGATTGTTATAAAACAGATGTATATTATTATTTTTTTCAGAGCGTAAACTGCTATCATTGTTGGATGTAGCAGAGTCCCATTTCGGGGCTAATCAGTTACGTGGTATCAGACCTGTGTACTCACCTGCTGGTATCGGAACAACTCTAATTGGAACACCACAAGGTCCGTGTAGTTTCAACGTGGTGACACCAGCGAATAACTACTGCAAAAACTCCTGTACGCTGCTGTTCATTGTACTCGTTGACAACTACGTTGCGTGGTACCAGTATCGGAGGAATATCTCTAAGTGGACCAATAATCTCACAATATGAGCCATTTGGTGCCGGTTCTGGAGCTCCGGTTTACTTACTGTCAACTGAGTTTCGGTCCTCAGAGCTCGTTGAATGTCACCCGAGGATGAAGAAGTCCAGTTGAAAGCTCCCGAACTGAACAGACCTTGAGACAAGATTGTTTTCTGAAGAATGAACTTTAAGTCTCAACTCACTGATGAGTTTTAATTTCCTGGTTGAAGACTGTGATTGGTGGAGGTTCAGCGGTGTGTGTGTGACTGCTGTACAGGTCCACACTGGAGTTTCCTTCCACATTAGCTGATACATCACCAGTAAGACAGCTTTTGTTTGATACTTGTATTGTATTGGGTACCCGTCTAGGTCTGGGATGATAGCAAAATGCTGATATTATCGCGATAATCATCAAAATGTTTTAACTCTTAAAAAAAAACTAATACCTTGCTAGTGTTAAGAAACACATTTTAATGGCATCTCAGACAGACCCCTCATCTCCTCGCCGTCCTTTAGTTTGGAATCCATGACCACGTACCCGGTTTAACATTCTGTTGCGGGGGTACAACGGGCAACCTCAGCGTGTTAGTGAGCTAGACGGCTCGTTGAAGTGACGGTAATCACTTACCGGTCCCACCCCCAGCTGCTGAGCCCCCCTGCAGAAGAAAAGGTAAGTACGCAGTCCTGATTTGTGTCTGAGAGGTTAGCAGGAACAGTTCTGTGTACTGATAAACATTCTGGTTTTAGTCTGCCGAGCATTTGTGATGTTGTAGTTCTTCAGTGCACTGGGTAACAAACAGTGGGATCAGCAATCCTCCACGTTGGTTAGAAGCACGGGATCCTGGAGGCGACCGGCCGCACCGACTGTTGTGGCAATATTACCAAAAAATTGAAAAAAAGGAGTCTTATTGTGACGACTACTGAACTGCGATGTTTCACTGGAACGAGCTGTTGGACTGGATGGACTGGACTTCCTTGTTCAGACACTGGTTCTGAGTGAGTTCTGTTCCAGCAGAGACTGGGAACACTGGAGCTGGGACCTGAGCGCCCTGTGGGGACACTTCCATGATGTCAAAACATTTGGGGGGGGGGCACAGAGAAGTACTGATGCTGCACACTGAAGGACTGGAGGCTGCTGAGGCTGAAGGATGAAATGTTATTTTTGGGGTGGAGGAGCAGTGAAGTAGTAATCTGTTATCTTTGTGCAGTCAGCTGTTAATAAAACAGTGTGGGCGGGACGAATGTTTGTCTGCAGTGTTCTGTCTTTCTTCAGGTTCGATACCCGGCCGCTCTGGCTTTACAGGAACGTGTTTTTGGGTTCAAAAGTAGGGAGCTACAGTGCTGTAAAAAAGTATTTTCCTCCTTTCTGATTTATTTTATTCATGATTTAACAAGGGGGGGCAATTACTTTTTCACATAGGGCCAGGTAGGTTTGGATAGCTTTTTTCTCTTAAATGAAATCATTTAAATACTGCATTTTGTATTTACTCTGGTTATCTTTGTCTAATGTTAAAATTGGTTTGATGATCTGAAACATTTAAGTGTGACAAATATGCAAACAAATAAGTAATCAGAAAGGGGGCAAAAACTTTTTCACAGCACTGTAAGTGCTTGTGAATATCTGTTCTCTAACGATCAATAACGACACTTTCTGTGACTAGTTCTGCTGCAGTTGCTCCGTTACAGGGGGGGCCATCTGTACCTAAACCTAACCAAGAGGTTCTGTTGTTGTGGCAGGAAACTGAAGACCATTTTTAAAGAGTTGAAAACAGTTTTAGGTCATAGAGAGTTAAAATGCTGATGGCACTAATTTCACAATAAAAGCCCAGTGGAGTTCCTGGACAACAAGAGGAGTGTACACAGCTTTAATATTTCAATATACACGTTTATTTCAGAGAACAAACCAAAGATAAAATGTTGCTTCTATGGTGACAATCAACTGAGCACACTCCAATCCTGATATTGATGACGTAGTTGTAAACAACATCAAACACTTTTCAAGTTCATCCACTCGGGTGCTCCGGTACTAAATCCTAAAGGACAGAAGTTCAGTCTTCTCATCAAGTTTTGGATTAGGATTTGGATCTATACAAAGAAAACTGAATTTAATATTTTATATAAAAAAGACAAGTTTATACAAACATTGGTAGTTGTGTCTTTTATATAAAATCAGTGTGTAGTTGGTCACAGATTTATTTGAATAACTGTTGAAATGATTCAGTGGTGACCCTTCAGAGGGCCCTGACCCCTATGTTGGGAACCAGTGGACTGACTGTTAGGTGCAGGCAGGAGCGTTGACGCAGGGCTGCGTTTCCAGCTCCTCCCCACAGTTGGGCCCCTCTTTGCATTTGGCACACGGAGTCCCGAAGAACGTCGCCGGCACCCTCTTTGGTCCGATGGTCAGACTGAAAACACAGTTTGGAGGATTAGTGTTTGAACATCTGACAGAAGTGACGATTGAGATCTTTCCTCATAAAAGATCTGATGATGACTATTTTAATTACGATAAAAGAAAGAATCTGTAATATGAGATCATACCAGATTATTACAGTATGGTACGGAAGAGGATGAGGGCCACATGAAGTCAGAAGTGACCTATAAGTGACGTTTTCCCTCCTGAGCTTTTTTTGTGCAATCAAATTGAGTCAGTGAAAGAAAGTAATTGTGATATTTCTTTCTGTATAATTCAATAAAAATCTTAGTTAAGAATAAACACATTTAATACACTGAGTAAATGACAGTGATAAATGAATCATTATTATTATATGGATATCCACACAGACAGGTGACTGGAGACTCACCTGTATCGGCTGTAGTCAGGATCACAGATTCTCCTCCTGCTGCGCTGCGAGGTCCCTCCACAGGGCGGCGTGCACAGGCTCCACGACTCCCAGCCCTCCCAGGTGCCCTTCACTGCAACACACACAGCATGTGATTGGCTGTCAGTCAGTCAAATAAACTTTATTGCTCTTTGTTCACTGACGACATTAATCTGAGGGAACACACATTCATCATTAATCATCATTAAAGAAAAGGTCTCCTAATTATGACGTTATTGAGATTATTTCTCGTAACTAATTTGGAAAAGAGATCTCATGATTACGATACCACCTACAGCTCAACACGGGGAAAACCAAAGAGCTGGTGGTGGACCCCCCCCCTCCCCAGTCACTATAAGGAGAGAGGGGAGAGAAAGTGGACACCTACAAGTTCCTGGGGGTGACACTCAACAACCTGGACTGGACGGACACTGAGACCCTCTACAGGAAAAGACAGAGCAGGCTGTTCTTTCTGAGGACACTCAGGTTCTTCAACATCTGCACTTGGCTACTGCAGATGTTCTACCAGTCTGTAGTAGGTCATCTTCTGTACTATGGGTTGCGGGGGAGGAGGCATTGGGACTTATGGTGCCAGCTCGGTGGGGATGGAGCTGGACAGTGTGGAGGCTGTGACAACCACATCTCCCAGTACCTCCAACCTCCTCAACCACAGCTCCCAGTACCTCCAACCTCCTCAACCACAGCTCCCAGTACCTCCAACCTCCTCAACCACAGCTCCCAGTACCTCCAACCTCCACAAACACAGCTCCCAGTACCTCCAACCTCCTCAACCACAGCTCCCAGTACCTCTAACCTCCACAAACACAGCTCCCAGTACCTCTAACCTCCACAACCACAGCTCCCAGTACCTCTAACCACAGCACCCAGTACTTAGCTAGCACCTATAGTTTTATATTTTCTATTATATTTTATAATCTTTTTATTTGTGATCCCTATTGTATGTACACTGCACTCTTTGCTCTATATTCCCTAGTGCTGCTGTGTGTTTCCTACAGGGGTTTAATAAAGGTATATCTTATCTTAATAAAGGACCTGATTATTATGATAAAATATCTTGTAATTAAAGAAAATAACTTACAATCTTCTAGTTGTGAGATAAAAAGAGTTAAAATAGGATTTAAGAGATTGTGTTACTGTGTGTATGTGTGTTACTGTGTGTGTGTGTGTGTGTGTGTGTGTGTATGTGTGTGTGTGTGTGTATGTATGTTACTGTGTGTGTGTGTGTATGTATGTTACTGTGTTACTGTGTGTGTGTGTGTGTGTGTGTGTGTGTGTGTGTGTATGTTACTGTGTGTGTGTGTGTGTGTGTGTGTGTGTGTGTGTGTGTGTGTCACTCACTGGGACAGCCGGTGACATCATAACAGGCCCGTGTCTCTGTCAGAGTGCCGTTGGTGCAGACGGCGCCACCGTGGTTTTGATGGAGACACTGCCGCTCTCGGGTCTGACCTCCGCTCAGCCGCTCGCACCTGATTCGTTTATTCTTATGAAACGGGTTTTTACACGAACTCCATGGCGACCACTGTGACCACACCCCGTCCACTGCAGACACACACGCATTCAGTTACAGCGAGGAAGACTCACTTCCTCCACTGGAGTAAAGTCCTTCAGTACACTGTAAAAAGAAACGTCTGGAGCAACAAAAATACAGTAATACAGAAAGTAAAAGTTTTTAGCTTTAATTCGACAACTTTTTAATGTTTAATCAAAGATATTTACAGTGTAAAACAATGATCTATAAATCCAGGTGAACTCTGCTATAATACAATAATCAGATTACATTGACAGCAGAGTGCTGTTATTATTGGATTGTTATTATTTTAATGTGAATGTTAAAAGTTATAGAAGTGTAATAAAAGTCATTATCTGTGAGATTACAGTAATTATTGCTGTTTACACTGATAACAACTGTATTTGGACAGTTTACCTTATACACTGATAAACAACATTTATTCTACTTCCATCATTATACAACATATCTGTCAGTTAACTAACTAATACATTAAAGTTACTCAACTAATGTTTCACATTATTTTATTAATATTTCCATGTATTTAAAAAATACTGAAAAAATCTGTGAAATTAACGTAAACCCCGTAAACCTACAGTTTCAGTATCAGTAGTAAGAGTAGACGCCTGTTTACCTGGACAGTAGACGTCGGTCTTACAGATGCTGGTTCGACGTCCGTCTCCAGGACATGGCTGGCCGCCGTGGTTGGGGGCGGGGCTGTTACATTCCCTGACTGACACCTGAAGCCCCACCCCACAGGAAACCGGACAGGAAGAGAAGGCAGACCAAGACCCCCAACCTCCGTCCACTGGTACAGACAGAAAGACAGTTAAAGTCCGCCTGAAACAGGAAGCAGAGAGCTTCCGAATATTTACGTGTTTCAGCGTCTGAGGCAGACGGAGGTCAGCTAACGTTAGCTGCAGGAGCTAACTAGCTAACTAGCTACGGTACTGCTGTCATATAACTGTCCTCTGTGTTCAGCTACATTAGCAGTTAGCTAACGACACAGGTGTGACAGGTGTACCTGCGCAGTGAGGCAGGTTGTTGCAGTTATCCATCTGCCTGTCGTCACCCTGGCAACCTCTACCGGGGGGGCTGGATGAAGGGGCGGGGTTGGAGCAGGAGCGGTGGCGAGTCCTGACTGGGACTCGGTCTTGTATACAGGAAGAAGAACACTCGCTCCAAGTGGACCAACCGGACCAGAACCCATCCACTGTGAAAGACAGAGAGATATCTTATTTGTATGAATCTCAAATGGAGTCAGCTAACGTCCAACACAGAGTCCACAACACAGAGTCCAACACAGAGTCCACAACACAGAGTCCAACACAGAGTCCACAACACAGAGTCCAACACAGAGTCCACAACACAGAGTCCACAACACAGAGTCCACAACACAGAGTCCAACACAGAGTCCACAACACAGAGTCCACAACACAGAGTCCACAACACAGAGTCCACAACACAGAGTCCACAACACAGAGTCCACAACACAGAGTCCACAACACAGAGTCCAACAGAGTCCACAACACAGAGTCCACAACACAGAGTCACAACAGAGTCCACAACACAGAGTCCACAACACAGAGTCAACAGAGTCCACAACACAGAGTCCACAACACAGAGTCCAACACAGAGTCCACAACACAGAGTCCACAACACAGAGTCCAACAGAGTCCACAACACAGAGTCCACAACACAGAGTCCAACACAGAGTCCACAACACAGAGTCCACAACACAGAGTCCAACAGAGTCCACAACACAGAGTCCACAACACAGAGTCCAACACAGAGTCCACAACACAGAGTCCACAACACAGAGTCCAACACAGAGTCCACAACACAGAGTCCACAACACAGAGTCCACAACACAGAGTCCAACACAGAGTCACAACACAGAGTCCACACAGAGTCCACAACACAGAGTCCACAACACAGAGTCCACAACACAGAGTCCACAACACAGAGTCCACAACACAGAGTCCAACACAGAGTCCACAACACAGAGTCCACAACACAGAGTCCAACACAGAGTCCACAACACAGAGTCCAACACAGAGTCCTACAACACAGAGTCCACAACACAGAGTCCACAACACAGAGTCCACAACACAGAGTCACAACACAGAGTCCAACACAGAGTCCAACACAGAGTCCACAACACAGAGTCCACAACACAGAGTCCACAACACAGAGTCCACAACACAGAGTCCACAACACAGAGTCCAACACAGAGTCCAACAGAGTCCACAACACAGAGTCCAACACAGAGTCCAACACAGAGTCCACAACACAGAGTCCAACACAGAGTCACAACACAGAGTCCACAACACAGAGTCCAACACAGAGCACAGAGTCCACAACACAGAGTCCACAACACAGAGTCCACAACACAGAGTCACAACACAGAGTCCACAACACAGAGTCCACAACACAGAGTCCAACAGAGTCCACAACACAGAGTCCACAACACAGAGTCACAACACAGAGTCCACAACACAGAGTCCACAACACAGAGTCCACAACACAGAGTCCACAACACAGAGTCCAACACAGAGTCCACAACACAGAGTCCACAACACAGAGTCCAACACAGAGTCAACAGAGTCCACAACACAGAGTCCACAACACAGAGTCCAACACAGAGTCCAACAGAGTCCACAACACAGAGTCCAACACAGAGTCCACAACACAGAGTCCACAACACAGAGTCCAACACAGAGTCCACAACACAGAGTCACAACACAGAGTCCAACACAGAGTCCACAACACAGAGTCCACAACACAGAGTCCAACACAGAGTCCAACACAGAGTCCACAACACAGAGTCCACAACACAGAGTCCACAACACAGAGTCCAACACAGAGTCCACAACACAGAGTCCAACACAGAGTCCACAACACAGAGTCCACAACACAGAGTCCACAACACAGAGTCCACAACACAGAGTCCAACAACACAGAGTCCAACACAGAGTCACAACACAGAGTCCACAACACAGAGTCCACAACACAGAGTCCAACAACAGAGTCACAACACAGAGTCCACAACACAGAGTCCACAACACAGAGTCACAACACAGAGTCCACAACACAGAGTCCAACAGAGTCCACAACACAGAGTCCAACAGAGTCCACAACACAGAGTCCAACACAGAGTCCAACACAGAGTCCACAACACAGAGTCCAACACAGAGTCCAACACAGAGTCCACAACACAGAGTCCACAACACAGAGTCCAACACAGAGTCCAACAGAGTCCACAACACAGAGTCCACAACACAGAGTCCACAACACAGAGTCCAACACAGAATCCACAACACAGAGTCCAACACAGAGTCCACAACACAGAGTCCAACACAGAGTCCACAACACAGAGTCCACAACACAAAGTCCACAACACAGAGTCCAACACAGAGTCCAACAGAGTCCACAACACAGAGTCCACAACACAGAGTCCAACACAGAGTCCACAACACAGAGTCCAACACAGAGTCCAACAGAGTCCACAACACAGAGTCCACAACACAGAGTCCAACACAGAGTCCACAACACAGAGTCCAAAACACAGAGTCCACAACACAGAGTCCACAACACAGAGTCCAACACAGAGTCCACAACACAGAGTCCAACAGAGTCCACAACACAGAGTCCAACAGAGTCCAACACAGAGTCCACAACACAGAGTCCAACACAGAGTCCAACAGAGTCCACAACACAGAGTCCAACAGAGTCCACAACACAGAGTCCAACAGAGTCCACAACACAGAGTCCACAACACAGAGTCCACAACACAGAGTCCAACAGAGTCCACAACACAGAGTCCACAACACAGAGTCCACAACACAGAGTCCAACAGAGTCCACAACACAGAGTCCACAACACAGAGTCCAACAGAGTCCACAACACAGAGTCCACAACACAGAGTCCACAACACAGAGTCCACCACACAGAGTCCAACACAGAGTCCAACACAGAGTCCACAACACAAAGTCCACAACACAGAGTCCAACAGAGTCCACAACACAGAGTCCACAACACAGAGTCCACAACACAGAGTCCACCACACAGAGTCCAACACAGAGTCCAACACAGAGTCCACAACACAAAGTCCACAACACAGAGTCCAACACAGAGTCCAACAGAGTCCACAACACAGAGTCCAACACAGAGTCCAACACAGAGTCCACAACACAAAGTCCACAACACAGAGTCCAACACAGAGTCCAACAGAGTCCACAACACAGAGTCCACAACACAGAGTCCAACACAGAGTCCAACACAGAGTCCACAACACAGAGTCCAACACAGAGTCCAACACAGAGTCCACAACACAGAGTCCAACAGAGTCCACAACACAGAGTCCAACAGAGTCCACAACACAGAGTCCAACACAGAGTCCACAACACAAAGTCCACAACACAGAGTCCAACAGAGTCCACAACACAGAGTCCAACACAGAGTCCAACACAGAGTCCACAACACAGAGTCCAACACAGAGTCCAACACAGAGTCCACAACACAAAGTCCACAACACAGAGTCCAACACAGAGTCCAACAGAGTCCACAACACAGAGTCCACAACACAGAGTCCAACACAGAATCCACAACACAGAGTCCAACACAGAGTCCACAACACAGAGTCCAACACAGAGTCCACAACACAGAGTCCACAACACAAAGTCCACAACACAGAGTCCACAACACAGAGTCCAACAGAGTCCACAACACAGAGTCCAACACAGAGTCCAACACAGAGTCCAACAGAGTCCACAACACAGAGTCCAACAGAGTCCACAACACAGAGTCCACAACACAGAGTCCACAACACAGAGTCTACAACACAGAGTCCAACAGAGTCCACAACACAGAGTCCAACACAGAGTCCACAACACAGAGTCCAACAGAGTCCACAACACAGAGTCCACAACAGAGTCCACAACACAGAGTCCAACAGAGTCCACAACACAGAGTCCAACACAGAGTCCACAACACAGAGTCCAACACAGAGTCCAACAGAGTCCACAACACAGAGTCCACAACACAGAGTCCAACACAGAGTCCAACACAGAGTCCACAACACAGAGTCCAACACAGAGTCCAACAGAGTCCACAACACATAGTCCAACAGAGTCCACAACACAGAGTCCACAACACAGAGTCCAACACAGAGTCCACAACACAGAGTCCAACACAAAGTCCAACACAGAGTCCAACACAGAGTCCACAACACAGAGTCCAGTTTAATTACAGTTAACCCACTTGCTAACCAGTGTGTGTGCATGCGTGTGTGTGTGACGTGGGTGTGAGTGTGTGTGTGTGTGTGTGTGTGTGTGTGTGTGTGTGTGTGTGTGTGTGTGTGTGTATTACCAGGACAGGTGTTCTCACAGACGCTGGTCCGGGTGCTCTGTCCCTCACAGAAACGGCCGCCATATTTAGGGGTGGGTTGATTGCACTTCCTGACTGCCAGCTGAAGCCCCTCCCCACAGGGGACGGAGCACGTCCCGGACGGAGACCACGCCCCCCAGCTGCCGTCCACTGCAGAGACAGCCAATCAGAGCACATGTAAAGTTTTTCTTTTAAAGACTTCACCTTTATCTCCTCAGCTCATTCTGTCTCACCTGGACAGTTTGGGAGTTCGCTGCAGTCCTGGACCTGGACTTCGTCTCCAGGGCAACTGTTGCCATGTGGAACTGTGTCACCGGAGGGGGCGGGGTTAGAGCAGGAACGATATCGCCTCTTGGTGGGGGGGGTGGCGTCACCGCGCTGGTCATCGATACACGACCCAGAACACTGAGACCAACCGGACCAACTGGACCAACCGCCATGAACTGGTGGACAGAGAGAGAGACATTCAGACAGACAGATGAGAGACAGACACACCAACACCAGTGGTGGGGCTTCCATGGTGGCACCTGCCCCCCCTGTAATCTGATTGGCCACCCCATGTGCCCCCCCAATGGTCATTGACTCGGGGTAATGTCAATCATTGCGCTAAAGCTCTTTACCGAAGCTGCATGTTAAAACGGAAGCAAAGCCGAAACCTTGTGTGACTAGACTGTGTTAAGAACTCATGAAGACTTTTATTTTGGAAAAAAGAAAGGAAGTGGCTCCGCAGCTGTGCTAATGAACTCGTGTAAATTCAACAGTCACAGACTTTTTTGCAACGCGATGCTCCCATGTGCACCGAGTTAAGGTAAGAACAGAACTCTACAGCTTCTTTAAGACTGTCACAACAATGTTTTGCCAACTTCTGTTCCGTCTGGGTCTAATTTGGTTCAATTTGCATGGGAAACTGTTCTTGTGTGTTTTACTTGAGTTAGCTCTCCATCTGGATAAACGGAAACATCTCTCCACTGTGTCAGTAACGTTAGCAATTACTAATTGCATACAACGGATGCTAATTGCCAATTAGCATCCGTTGTATACAATTAGTATGTTTCACGTTTTGTGACATGAATTAACAGTCAATAACAGAGTATCATATCATTGTTGCCACTGTGATGTTGGTACAGTACAAATAACATGTTGCTATGTGTGGACACATTTTGAATGTAGACTACAATATGAAACAGAGGCAGGGAGATATCTCCAATTTCTTCACAAAGAAGAAAATTAGCAGGGAGAGTGCAGGTGACCAGCAGGAGTGTGAGAGTAGTCAAGCTGAACGCAGCCAGGCAGCTAACACAGGCCAAAATGAGCAAGATACAGTTATTTAGAAGTGTCAGCACCTCCAAATGAGTGGTACATTGAGTGGTACTCATTCTGATTGCGATACCACATAATTGTTTACGATACACAGTGTAAAGAGCTGAGCACTACTGATTTTGAATATTGTTACTGTTGTGAGTTTCACTGAGAATTTGAGTGGCAGTGGTGAATTATTTTTCTTAAGAGTAACTACTACACGGAGCACTGAGATGTTTAATATACAAAGCTGAGCACAAAGTGCTGATTTAGAGTATAGAATATGGTTAATGTTCTTATTTTTAGTGGTAGGTGGTACCTACTCTGCTTAAAAGTGATTACTGAAGTGAACTCATATGTTTACTGTATGTTTACTGTACAAAGCTGTTCTGCTGTTACTGTTCTAAATTTCCAGTGATGATTGTGCTTAGTCTTATTAAAACTGATAACTACACAGAACACTGAGATTTTTATTCTATTTTTTAAGTATATTTTACATTTTTATTTTATTTTATTATTAAAGGATATTGTTGTTACATTGTAAGAATTTAAGTGGTGCTTAAAACTGATTGCTATACAGAACACAGCTATGTTCACTGTACAGAGCTAGAAGCACTAACTTCTTGCTAACTCCGTACAGCAAACCTGCTAGTGTTCTGTGTGTTACTCTTGGTAAGAGTACACCCAGCAGATTTAATGTGGCCAAGAAAAGCAAGATGAAAACAAGGAGTGTGTAACTGTACAATATAAATTGAAGTGATTGCCCATACTGAAGTGGGCGATCAGTGGCAGCTTTCAATTCAATTCAATTCAATTCAGTTTTATTTGTATAGCGCCAATTCATAACAGAAGTTATCTCAGGACAGTTTTCAAATAGAGCAGGTCTAGACCGAACTCTTTAAAACATTAATTACAGAGACCCAACAGTACCACCATGAGCAAGACCTTGGAGACAAGGGCAAGGAAAAACTGCCTGTTAAAAGGCAGAAACCTAGGACAGATCCTCCGGCTCTAGGTGGGTGGTCGTCTGTCTCGACCAGTTGGGGAGAGAGAGAGAGAGAGAGAGGACAGAGAGAGAGAGAGAGAGAGAGCGAGAGACAGACAGACAGACAGGTGCACAGCAACAACAGTATTAGCAATGGCAGTCAAGCAGGACCATGGCAGGAGGCTCCACCAGGATCGACAAGAACCTGCGAGACGAGAAAGCACAAGAACTCCAGGGAAGAAGTGGAGTTAGTAACATGCATTAATGGGACATGAATGAGTGCAGAAAGAGAGGAAGGGAGGAGCTCAGTGCACCATGGGAAATCCCCCGATAGTCTAGGCCTATAGCAGCATAACTAAGGGATGGTTCAGGACTCACCTGATCCAGCCCTAACTATAAGCTTTATCAAAGAGGAATGTCTTAAGCCTACTCTTGAATGTGGAGAGGGTGTCTGCCTCCCGAACCACAACTGGAAGCTGGTTCCACAGGAGAGGAGCTTGGTAACTGAAGGCTCTGGCTCCTGTTCTACTTTTAGAGACTATAGGAACCACAAGTAGCCCAGCATTCAGAGAACGTAGTGTTCTAGAGGGGTAATAGGGTACTATGAGCTCTTTAAGATATGAAGGGGCCTGACCATGAAGAGCTTTATAGGTGAGGAGGAGGATTTTAAATTCTATTCTACATTTCAATTCTACATTTCATTTTTGTTACTTTTGGGCGGCCCCCCCAGATTATTTGTTGTTACCCCCTGTGCCCCCCACCAGAAAATTCTCTGGACCCGCCCCTGACAGACACACAGACAGGTTACCTGGACAGGTGAGCGGTGGACAGCTCTCTGTCTCCTCTGAAGAGCCGCTGCAGGCCGACTGACACTCAGGAGGGTCGGAGCAGACTCTGGTTCTCTTCCTGACTCCGCCTTCTCCACAGGACACCGAGCACGCCGACCAGCTGAGCCACAAGCCCCACCCCTTAGCTACACACACACGCACACAGACACACTGACACTGTAAAACCTGTTAAGTTAATTTAACTCAAAAAACCTGAAACTAATTACAGCAGAATTTTTAAGTAACACAAACTAAATTTTTTAGGTCAAAAAAGATTCTTGAAGCAGATTTTACTCACAATTTTATTGATGGATAACTTTTTAATAACTTTTTACTTTAATTTTGTTTTCACAGAATAAATTAAGTATGATAAAAATAATAATAAAAAAAGTTATTAGTTAGTTAATCAGTTTCAATTAACTCAGTGGTTCTCAAACTTTTTCGGTCATTCCCCACTTTGGACAAGGGGGAATTTTCAAGCCCCACCTGCCCCCATCGCCCATACACAATGCTAATGAAATATGCAACAAGCTTAAAATGTTCCAATTTATTAAAGTAACAAGTAGTATCAGTATAGTAACAAGTTGTATCTAAATACAAACTAACTATCTACATCAAATAACAGCAAGTTCAAAAATAAAGAAAATAAAAGTGCAGCTGTGTCAAAATTTGAATCAAGTTCAAAAATAGAAAAGAAATAAAAGTGCCACTTTGCAATCTGTTAAAAAAAGAGTTTGTTCCGCTACAATTAATATGCCAACGTCACGTCAATCATTATTTTGGCACTTCGGTTCCAGGTTACATTTTTCTCGGGGTCTCATATCTAATGTTCTTTTAATTTAGACTGCATGTAGGCTAGTAATGATTACTTTGTTTGTGGGTGTTTTGTTTTGAATGTATGATCTTTGTTGTCATTAAAGAAAGGCACTGATAAAGCAGACATCCCAATCTGCAAAAAGTCATTTCAGGGAGGTTCGTTCTGTGGGGGGGGGGGATTCCTCTTACGCTTGGAGTCGCCCCTGGGGGTGATCGGTCTAATAAGCGGCAACATACAGCTATAAGGACGGTTTGCTCTCACACGTGCTGCATTTATAGTCACACACACACGTGCAGTCTCTCTCTAGTCTAGTGCGCGGTCTTGCTCCAGATTCCGGGAGATTGGATCTCATTTGCGGGCGTCAAGGAGCCGCTATCAATATGCGGGAGACTCCCGGAACTTCCGGGACAGTTGGGATGTCTGGATAAAGATATAAAGGCATAAAAAGGAAAATTTTGCCCCACCTGTCACGTCTCTATTCCCCACCAGTGGGGCGCTCCCCACACTTTGAGAACCGCGGAATTAACTAATCTGGTTTTACATTGAAGAATGTTTTTAACTTACAAAAATGAGTTTGTGTTAAATTTTCACTGAAATTCATTTAATGTTTTTCTGGGTTAAAACAACCTATTAATGTTATTTAATATCTAAACTTTGATGACCTGAACACAAACTGTATTAGAAGTATTAGGGAGAAGAAAACACTGAATTGGTCAAAAAAGAAGCCAAAAAAAGAAAAAAAAACAAACATAATACAGACAGAGAACTCATCTCTGATCAATATTCACAGGAACTGTTTGGGTTCATTGTTCAGTTTATCAGTTTATCTGGGCTCGTCAATACACTCAGTGATAGATAAGGGCTCCCTTAAGGAACAGGTTTGGAACCATTGATGTCTAGGATTGGTGTGTGTGTGTGTGTGTGTGCGTACCGTCGCAGCAGCTGCCCGCGCAGGGTCGCGTCTGCAGTTTGTCCTCAGCATTCTCGCACTCTGATAGGCCGAAAGCAAAACACGTCCTCTTCCTCTGCGTCACTCCGTCCCCACAAAGGACGTTACAGTACGACCACGGGGACCATTCAGACCACTGTGGTGGACTGGAAACACATCAACACATACGCACTGACACTCACACTGTGGGGACCCTCCAGCCATCTGAGGACCTAAAGGTCGGTCCTCACAAGGTTGGCAAGGTCAGGGTAAGACTTACTCTGAATACACTGTATCCTTATGGATGATATTGATCAGTATACACTGTATCTGTATGGATGATATTGATCAGAATACACTGTATCTTTATGGATGATATTGATCAGTATACACTGTATCTTTGTGGATGATATTGATCAGTATACACTGTATCTTTATGAATGATATTGATCAGTATACACTGTATCTTTATGGATGATATTGATCAGTATACACTGTATCTTTATGGATGATATTGATCCTGTATTGACAGTCAGACTGTGGACATATGACGGCCTTTAGCTCGTGTTTCTAGAGTTACGTGTTGTTACGAACACGTTAGGAATTGTTAAAATGTGATATTTCTTAAAGGGAGTTTGGTGCAGGGAGCTTTTAGTTGGATTCAAACTGCTGATATGGATCATTGTTAATGTTTAGTCTCCACTACAGAAACACTAGCTGACTGCTAAAGACTGATAAGGTTGATTAATGCTTTAATAATGAATAACTGATCAGGATGATTATCAGCTAATTGTACTCTAACAGCAGTATACATAGTTAGTGTGTGTGTGTGTGTGTGTGTACTGACCCACAGCTGTGACACACTCCGTCTGCTGTCTGGTAACCGTATTTAACGTTCTGACAGCAGTCGTCTATATCCAACTCACCGATCTCTTCACCACACTGACCCCAGTTGAGACGCGCAAAACACCGCTCACACTCTGCACACGCACACACACACACACACACACACACACACACGTGTAAACAAGAGAATAAAAGGCAACATCAGTACATGAATATTAGTGATTCTTAATGCTGTTTCACTTCCATAGCTTTGTGTTTACACGGGTGTGTGTGAACTTTTACTAACCCAAAATTTATATTATTATTAGGGATGCACAATAACTTTTTTTTTAAACCGATACCGATAACCGATAACTTTCAGCTCCTTAAGGCCGATACGATACTGATAACTGATAACACACACACTTATACATAATATATATGATCATGACCTAAGATCATGAATTAATACTAAATGAACAAACCCAAAAACACTTTTGTTTTTAAATGTTTAAATTTAAAAGTTGATATTTATTTTTTCCAATGAAAAAGGCAAGCCTCTCAAAAAAAAAAAAGGCTCCTTGAACTGATGCAAATACATGCAGCGGGACAAACTGAAAAAGTGTATTCCAGAAGTTCAAAAAAATAAATATATATGGAAAATTGATGTACTGACACAAGTTAGATTTAAACCTTTTTATGCAAACACAATCTGAAAAAGTACATTCCTCATAAAAAATAAAAAATAAATAAAATGTGCATAATGCACTGACACAAGTTACACTCTGTGTAAACAAACTGAAAAAGTGTATTCCATAGTAGCAAAAAACTAAGTTTGAATGATTTTGGCTCATGGTTCCATTCAAATGAATACCTTTTCACTAAAGTAAATGAGGTTCAGCTGATTTATAGAGAGAGAGAGAGAAAATTCCGCTAGCATTGTCAACCATAGCCACCATAGCCATGTGCGCACAAGAGCCAATCACTGCAGAGCCAATCACTGCAGAGCCCACCCCCACGACACACCTTAAGAAACACGCTGATCTAACGTTATACCTGCAGCTGTTCGGTCCCGTTCTGTGCATCTAAACTGACTGTTGTGGATTACTGACACTGAACGAGTCCGGACCGAGTCTGTTCCGGTCTGAGGAGATCCAGATACGCGGGGACAACAAACTGGAATCAGAATCTGTGGATGTTCATCTGTAGCTTGCTGCTACACCTTCAAACACAACCTCATTTGGCCATCCATGAAAAAGCTACTTAACCTCCCACTTTTCTATAGCAATACATACTTCCTATGGGCACTGCACTAGTTTGTTACAAATAACAAGCGACCTGTCTTCTTCAGAAACTTTGTAAAAGTCCCACACAATCGACGCCATGTTGTCTGTTTTCAAACGTAAGCACGCTGTGCTGCATTCACAGTGTGACGGTAATTCCCTGTTCCCACGTTTGGTAGTCGTTCTTTGGGCCATTTTAAGTTCATGTTTCTATTGTTTATGTGTAACGTGGAAAAATACTGTGGATATCAATTAAAGTCAGCAACGACCAAAATTATGACCGAGTTAACGAGTTCTTTTCCGACATGAGGGGGTATTCTCAAATTTAAAAAAGAGTTTTTCTGATTATGCCAACGTCACTTGAACGCAGCATTCACTGCGGGGCATTCAGGTCCCATAGTGAGAGCGGGGCACTATCATGCTGACAAAATTATATATGTTATCAGGGCTATTCGTCATGATATCGGACTTATTGGAATGACGTAATAATTTCCTGTTATCATGCACCCCTAATTATTATATATATATATAGATATTACTATTATTATTATTGTTGTTGTTATTATTATTATTATTATTAATTTGGTTGCTAACACTGCAGATAAAGTGAATGTTTTTGTAATATCTTTATCTGTATCAGATAAAGGTTATATCTATATAAAGGGTAAATATTTAAAACATTACAGTTAAATCACATTTTTGAAAGAAACAAAGAAAGTCTTTGGAGTAAACATACACTTGTTAGGTGAAAGAATGGGTGCACTATATTGATTTTTGTTATTTAAAAATGACCAGAAATAGCAGTCCCCTCTTGGACAGTGTAGACCAGGGGTCACCAACACAGTGCTGCAGGCACCAGGTCGCCCCCAAGGACCACATGAGTAGCCCGCAGGCCTGTTCTAAAAATGAAAATTGAATATTGATATTATCTGTTTCCCACCTTGTTAAGTCATTGTTGATAATTATTGTGAGAAATCATTAATGTGATCAGTGTCTTCACATAGATGAGTATCATTAATCATTAATAATAATATATAACTAAAGGCAAACTGAGCAAATTTGATATTTCAGAAGAGTGTATCAAACTGGTAGCCCTTCGTATGACTCATGAAGTAGCTCTCAGTTTCAAAAAGGTTGGTGACCCCTGGTGTGGACTGATAGTCCACTGTTGGTAATAAAGGAGTGTATGTGTGTTTGTGTGTGTTTGTAAGGGAGAGCGAGAGAGAGATAGAGACAGATAGAGAGACCGATAGACAGAGAGACAGACACAGAGAGAGACAGAGAGAGAGAGAGACAGACAGAGAGAGAGAGAGATAGATAGATAGAGAGAGACAGAGAGAGAGAGAGAGACAGATAGAGGGAGACAGAGAGAGCTACAGAAAGAGAGAGAGAGACAGAGATAGAGAGTGAGACAGATAGATAGAGAGAGACAGAGAGAGAGAGATAGAGAGACAGAGAGAGAGACAGAGAGAGTGAGACAGATAGATAGAGAGAGAGAGAGAGAGACAAATAGAGAGGAGGATTTCCAGGATTTCGACACAGGGGAAAGTTCGTTCCTGTTACCAATGAAAAGTTGTGCAATTTTTAGACTCGTTCCCAAAAACCTCATTAAAATAAACAGAAGTCAGAGTAACTTTGTCTTTTTTCTTCTTCACCATTGAATCTATAATCTATCATCTATAAACATCAATCAAAAATATATTGAAAATGGTTGAATATCTAGTCAGGTGGACTTTAGTGGTCCAAACACTGAGCTGGACTTGTGCGTCCAATCTCAAATCAGTCGGACCCGTGGTATGAGGGGGCGTGGTTTTAACAAAATGAGATATTCTTAATTACAGCGACACCATCTGGCCGATTGGACTTGTGCACATAAGTTATTGGGCTTAGTTTAATTTTTCTAGATCATTCCAGCTCACGACAATTAGAGCTAACGCAGCAGCCACATAATGATAATAATCAATAATAATAATAATAATAGATTTTTCTGATTTTAATGTGAATGTTAAAAGTTATAGAAGTGTAATAAAAGTAATTATCTGTGAGATTACAGTAATTATTGCTGTTTACACTGATAGCAACTGTATTTGGACAGTTTACCAATGCTTATACACTGATACACAACATTTATTCAAAGTTTCTGTTCCATAATTATACAAGATATCTGTCAATCCATGTAACATTACACAACAAATCCTTTTTTTTGCTGTTGTCGTGTTTGTTTACACAAATTTAGAAATGTATCAACAGTATTAAACTTGAATTTAACAGTTTAATCTATTAAATAAACAGTACATTTGCAAATATATTTTAAGTCTTTTTATGTTAAATAAGCTGTAATTTAATGATTATTTACAGTTACAGATTTATTTATTTTGTTTAAGTTATTTTTTTGGCCTTTTATTGCCTTTATTTGATAGATACAGCTGAAGACAGACAGGAAAGGGGGTCAGAGAGAGAGGGGATGACACGCAGCAAAGGGCCGCAGGTCGGATTTGAACCCCGGGCCGCTGCAGCAAGGACTCAGCCTCAGTACATGGGTCGCCAGCTCTACCCACTGAGCTAACCGGGCCCTGCAGTTACAGATTTTTAACATTATTTTTACATTAAAACAGGATATTTTTGTAATTTTACTCATATTTCTATATATTTAAAAAAAAACAGAAAAATCATTTTTTTTTACAGTGTGATTCATCCTGAAAACTGACAAACAAACAAAGTTCAGACTGACCAGAACGCTCCACAGAAACCAGCAACAGAACCGCAACAACCACAATCCTCCGGACGCTGTGAACCTCCATCCTGCTGCCTGAAGACCGACGACTGGAGATGCTTCAGTTTCCTTCTGCCTTCAGTGTGAGCGGAGGTCCTCCCTCCAACCCTCTGCTGAGTGTGTGTGTGTGTGTGTGTGTGTGTGTGTGTGTGTGTGTGTGTGTGTGTTTGTGTGTGTGTGTTTGGATTAGACAAACTGGAAGTCCCTATAAGGTTTAGGTTAGAGTATGGTTTTGGGTTTAGACACAGTTGTGAGTTTAGTGTCAGGCTGCACAGACAGCGAATTTAAAGTGACGAAGTCCAGTTTGTGTGTTTTTGTTGTGAGATTTCCTGTAAAGTTCAACAGCCTCCAAACTGACCTCCGCATGATGCAACGGCTGCTGCTGCTGCTGCCAGAGTTTATCTGAGAAACACACACAGTTGAATCCTGCAAGCACTTAGTCAATAAATACAATCTCAGTTAAAGGACTCAGTGTTTCTTCTCCCTACAGCGTAATGTTTGAATGAATGTCTGTTTCACATTCTTCTGCTGAAAGTGGATCGTTTCTCTGAGCTCATTGAACATCTGATATTTAAGGGGCGGGGTCGAAGAGCAGAATTTGTGACATCACAAATAGTCAGGAAATCGATCCTGGTCCATTCCTGTAAAGTTCAACAGCTTCCAGACCGACCTACTTCTGCCGGTATTTAGCCGATAAACACACCTTTTGAAACACAAAAAATATTTCTAACATAAGTGTTTTATTCATTCTATACAGCGTTTTACTGCCAACCTGTCTCATCTGTTTTATTATTAGAATTTATCTGGATTTATTTGCCTCAGTCCTGAAATGTTTTATCCCTGGTTCAACAGCAGCAGGGATTTTGTTTTCCGACCAGCAGACTTCCCAAAGATCTGCCAGCTATAGACTATAGATACAAGAAACCAGAGATATCTCCGTCCACCAATCGTCTGGGGATTTATGAATGCAAAGTTGCTTAATTTGTGGCGAAAATGGCAACTAACAAACGTACGCCCCTTACTTCAAAGTAACCGTACCTAAAAACAGTGCTCTCCCCCCATTCTCCTCCACAGTGAACGTCTATATTAGTCTATTTTACTATCAGCTTTATCAAAGAGGAACCTTCTACTCTTAAAGGAGACATATTATGCCCTTTTTCAGGTTCATAATTGTATTCTGTGGCTCTCCTACAATAGGTTTAGATGTTTTAATGTTCAACAAACACATTATTTTTCTCATACTGCCGATAGCTGAGCACCTCTTTTCAGCCTCTGTCTGAATCGCTCGGTTTTAGCTCCTGTCTCTTTAAGGCCCCCCTCCCGAAAAGCCCAGTCTGCTCTGATTGGTCGGCCTTATGACACAGTTCACGCGGCTGGCCCTCCGGCCCCTCCCCTTCCACCTCAGTGTTGGCGGCAGGTACCTCCTCACTGTTACTGAGTTTATCTGCATTTCTACCGTCAATATTAATTCAATAACTGCTTCTAAAGCAAAAACTACACCAGCGGACATGTTAGAGCGGGAGTCTGACCTGAAATCACAGAGAAATGAACATCAACAACAATCAGGATTACAGCTTTCTGTGACGTTTTCCTCAGGTAAATACTGCTATATTTATATTAACCTCTATCTATCACATAATGTTAGTGTTTAGACCTTAACTAAGAGAACCAACACTGTGTTCTATGCTTGTCTTTACAGGTACAGCAGTGAGCAGTGACCTACAGTCTACAGAGCCCAGTGAAGTTAAACATATTATATGCCTGCAATACTTTATCCTGTACAACATAATATAACTGAAGGAATCACTCATCTAATAAAGTAACTTGTTTATGTGGTTTAAAAACTGCTCAGTAACCAACTGTTAACTGTACTGTATCCATATTTCATAGTCTGATATTTTAACTTGAAAGTATTATTACCAAAGTTAACCTTCAGATATTTGTAAAACCTGCAATTTTGTTTGAACCCCATTAAAAATACTGTATACTGAATATTCTATCATTTATATTATCTATATACTTGTGCTGTCAGTTAAACGTGTTATTAACGGCGTTAACGCAAACCCATTTTAACGGCGTCAATTTCTTTATCGTGAGATTAACGTTCTTTTTGTCCTAGCACACTTTGTAGTTTTTTTCCACATGCTGTTGCAACAACTAGTAACGTTAGAAAAACTACAACACCACACCGGATCTAGCTAGACCAGAAACAGAACAACAGGCA